CTGCCCCTCTCCACCTGGCCTAGGGCGGGGCTGCAGGCCTCATAAGGAGCTGCTGTGGCTGCTGCCATCAAGGAATGAGGTATTTTGGGGAAAATTTTGCTGGGAGTTGTTGCTGTTGTTGTTGCTGATATTAACTTTTTGTATCTTTATTTTTATGTAGAAATTGTTCAGTTTGGTTATGTAGTTTTTAATATGTTTTGTTTATTTTTATGACTATTTTGCTATATTTGTAATGTAAATCTTTTCATATTGTAAGCCGCCTTGAGCATTGTTTTAACTGTGGAAAGGCGGCATACAAATAAAATAGGTCAAACTGGAACGGATTCTGTTCGACTTCCAAGGTATGACTGTATAACCTCTGAGTAGACACACCTAGGACTGCACTGTTTAAGTGCAATTCAAGTGAATTCTTTTTTTAAATAAATCATTTTAATTAATTTTTGCATATGTTTTCCAAACAAAACTTCACATCATCCTCATTTTGGCTATTATAGCCTGAGACGTCCATCAATCCTGTCTAGTGATTTTCAAATTTGCTATCTAATCTTGCATTTTATTATTATAATTAATGCTTTTAAACTTTTCCTAATTATTTTCTTCCTAAATCATTTTACAATAATTTATATAGTCCCCCTTACAAAACTTCTTGTTAACCTACAAGCAATGTTACATTAATGCAATTGTCTTTCAAATAAGTCAAGTGAATTCTAGATGTTTTGTTCAGATGATCATATCATGGCTTAAGAGGGCAATATATGAATTAAGTATTTTCTCCATGCATGCAACCCTATGAGCCACAACCGAGCCAGGAAGTCTCTTTACTAACCACCGTTTTCCAGAAAACTGGGGAACTATTGTTACCCTGCTTCAAAACAATTTAGGATATTAAACCAACTTCAAAGCACGACTTAAGATCCCGGCTTCTTCCAAAATTGGTAACCAACTTTGGTTTCCTCGGCTTATTATACAAAGAAAGGATTGTCAAAACACATTCAACAGCAAACGCTTCCCTCCCATTATGGGGATTTAAGTGAGGAGGGCATAAAGGCACTGAAAGCTGTTAACAACTTACATTGGCATGCTGAAGAGCTTTTGTGTGCATGAATATATGTACTTATTATAGCCGCGTGAAAAAAGTCGATTATAATTATAATTGGTGTTATATCCATTCAAGTCACTCAGTTTGCCTTGCGTTATATTCACCGTGTAAAAAATTAATTGTATGAAACAATGCATTTCAAAATGTGGGAAATTTTCTGCTAAAAAGATTCCATTTCCAGGGTTGTGCAATGCTTCGTTTTTAAACGCAAAGAAGTGCTGGACTCAGGGCTGCCTGAAATCCAGATGTGCAGGGGGTGAGTGGAGATGGTCAAGGAAAGACCAGCTATACATTTGCAGTGACGCTTCCTGTGTCTGTTGCATGCTAGCTGCAGGGCTGAGAACACCGGGCTACATCTGGGCATAAAGCAAACTCTGGGCTCGGGACTGTCCCATCTCAGCCCACGCTCCAAAAGTTCTCCAGAAGCTTGTGAGTCCCACATGGGTCTCAAAGCATTCCTGAAAGCAGTCATCACACCACACAGGACCAAAACCACTGCTCCTACTTAATTCAGAGCCATTTCACCAAATCACTATTGAGACACAGTACAGTGTGGCTAGCTTAATCCAGAGGATAAGGGGGGATTAAAGCAGCAGATACTCTAAACCTCTGAGGACCCTAGGTGTAGGGGCAGACTCCCCTATAAAATAATTTTTAATCGTCCAGAATCTTACACATATAACTTGCATACACACACACACAACTGGCATGTGCAGAGGTGGCAACTTCGCCAAAGATTGAGGGGGCCCACCGTCACATGTGTGACATCACACATCACATGTGTGTTTTGATGTCACAACACACGACATTGCACCGTCGTGAGGAGGCCAAGTGAGGCAGAGCTTCAATACCAGCAGGTCCCTTCTTCTCTCACGATCAGCCTCCTTCCACGGCAGGAGAAGGAAGAGCCAGTCACTGAAGCCACGCCATGTTTGGCTCCGTGCCTCAGCCTCCTCCACCCCCTCACATTTGGAGGGCCAGCCCCCCTCCCCAAAGATATTGGGAGGCCATTAAAAGCTTGACCCCTTGAGCTGGCGCCCCGGGCAACTGTGTCTGAACTTCCTTAGCCATTGGCTGAGCTGCTGTGATATCACAGCATGTCAGTGTAAACATTCTAACTGCTGAAAGGGAAGGACCAGCCGTGGAATATGGGCAATCGGTGCAACTCCTGGAAGGGAAGCAGAAGGTTGCCTGGAAAAGGAGAAACGTCTCACATGCAGTGTCTTGACCATGGATCAGCAAACTAAGGCCTGTGGGCCAAATCAGGCCCAAATTGCCTTCTAGATCTGCCCCGTGGATGGTCTGGGAATCACCACGTGGATCGCCAGCGCACATGTTCTTTCCCTCTCCCTAACATGGTGGCACTTTCCTCCTCAGGTAAGGAGCGATCTTGTCCCACGCCAGGCGCCGTGAGTCGGACTCGCCGCCTGCCTGCCTGCCTCAGCAGAGGCAGCGCTGTGAAGGGGGCGTATGATGCCAGCTGACGCTGCTGCGTTTTCCTCCTGCACATCCTCCCTTAGTCCGCCCTTCCTTCCTTCTCCACGCTGCTTCCTCATGCGCTTCCTTCATCGCCGCCTGCCTCCCTCCCTCCATTTCTCCCATGGCGTTCAGGCAGGTTGTTGCAGTGACTGCGGTCACCGCTTGTGGGTTGGCAGGCGGCTCTGTCTTCTTCTTTGCCTCTCAGGAAGCAGCAGCAGCAGAAGGGTGGGTAAAGCTCCGGCGACGCCCCGGTTCCCCTACCTCCATCCGGCAGCTCCTTCGCCAGGGCTGCTGCTTCTACCTTCGCCAGCCAACGCAGCCTCTTACCCTGCCACAGTGCCTGGCTGGCTGGAGAAGCCCAACTGCGGCTATTGGGACAACAACTTTACCGACAGGTAAAGCGAAGCATCTCAGGCCTCTTTGCAGGCGGGCGAAAATCGTTTCATTTCCCCCCAAAAAATATAGTCCCCCTACCGCCCACAAGGTCTGAGGGACAGTGGACTGGCCCCGTGTTGGAAAAGTTTGCTGACCCCTGGTCTTGACACTGAGCAAGGCATCAAGTGCACAACAGGGCCTTCCTCACGCCCACCAGATGTCCAGAAGAAGAAGAAGAGGAGGAGGAGGAGGAGTTTGGATTTGATATCCCCGCTTTATCACTACCTGAAGGAGTCTTAAAGCGGCTAACATTCTCCTTTCCCTTCCTCCCCCACAACAAACACTGTGGGTGTGGGGCTGAGAGACTTCAAAGAAGTGTGACTGGCCCAAGGTCACCAGCAGCTGCATGTGGAGGAGCAGGGAAGCGAACCGTTCACCAGATTACAAGTCTACCCCTCTTAACCACTACACACACTGGCTCTCAAGACAGTGCCTTGGTCTTCTGACATCATTGAGCTGCCCTGAAAAACTTACCAGGACTGCATGGGCCCTGACTGCGTGCACAAAGAATAAACAGTTGCCATTAACTTACAGAAGTGTGTGGAGGCCACAGCACAATAGGCTCTCTTTCGCTAAAGAGCTACCTTCCCCATATTCCCCTCTTACCTCCCCCACAGCGCTACCACTGCGGCTGTTGTACCTGAATGGCAAACACAGCCATTCTTCAGGCTCCCGGTGTCTCTGCACCTTTCAAGGACGGCACTGCAAAGCCTCACAAAAGAAGCCCGGTTTGGGAAAAAAGAAAGGAAAGCCAGATGTAGCGGAAACACAAGCCACACTAAACAAACGAGGGAAAGGTTTCGCGGTGACTCACAGAGCGGTTTTGCGACGCTTCTGGCATTGTGCAGCGCTCCAATGGTCCTTCTGTACATCAGACGCCTACATGGAAAAAGAAAACACAATAGTTTATCATTTCGATTCAGAAAGGGGGCAGAGAAGAACTCAAGAAGAAAGCTTCAAACCAGAGAACCGGAATGTGCTCCTTGCGCTCAGTTTCCTGCTGAAATCAAACGAGATCAAGGGCCAAATCACACGTTACTTTGTTCAGACTTTATAATCATAATCACCACGCCATTCGAAACTCCCAAAGGAGAGGGAAGCAGCTGTGGGGGGTCCTGATCCAGAACAGATTCCTGATCCATACCGTTTCCCAAATTAAGACACGCATTGTGCATTTCCCCTTGCTCCCAAAAAGGGGTCCTTCGGAGCTTTCTACTGAAAGCAGTTCTGAGTGACCAGAAACTGCCAGGTTCTCCCTCATCTATTTTCATGGCTTCTGCTGCAGGTGGGGAAAAAGAGATTCAAAGCTGCATCTGGGTGCTGGTGTGGCCAATCAGCCTGTCCTAGTTTTTAGATATAGCAGTCCTAGGCTGGCTCTCTAACTTCAGCATTGCACTGGCTTCCAATGCAATGTACAGGAACCTCAGGCGGCCAAATGCAGATCTCCAAGCACCTCTGTCTGGCCCTTGGAACTGCCTCCGGGCTCCCCCTTTCCCAGGCCGCAACCCTCTCTAGCCTTGCTCCAACATTCCAAGAAGAAGAAGAGGAGGAGGAAGAGGAGGAGGAGGAGGAGTTTGGATTTGATATCCCGCTTTATCACTACCCGAAGGAGTCTCAAAGCGGCTTACATTCTCCTTCCCTTCCTCCCCCACAACAAACACTCTGTGAGGTGAGTGGGGCTGAGAGACTTCAAAGAAGTGTGACTGGCCCAAGGTCACCCAGCAGATGCATGCGGAGGAGCGGAGACACGAACCCGGTTCCCCAGATTACGAGTCCACCGCTCTTAACCACTACATCACACTGGCTCCCAAGTACTCACTAAATCTGTGTTTCCCAAACTTGGGTCCCCAGCTGTTTTTGGACTACCGTTCCCACCATCCCTGGCCACTGGTCCTGCTAGCTAGGGATAATGGGAGTTGTACTCCAAAAACAGCTGGGAAGCCAAGTGTGGGAAACACTGGACTAAATCCTTGCATGAGTGCGAGGATTAGCACGAGAGGAATGGGGTTTCCTCCGCTCCTTGCCCTAGTGTGCGACCCACACCATTCCCAAATCTGTTTCGGAAGGTTGGGGAAAACTGCAGAGCAGATTTAGGGGGCATGCAGGAGGAGGAGAATGTTCTGTTGTGGAAGGAGAAAGCCTTGCAGTGAGAGAAGATTCACATTAGCCCTGCACCGAATGCAACCCCAACTACTTTCTCCAGGCTCATGTGACCTTGAACTCTGATAATGTATCTTGCTTGCCTGGACAGAGGATAGTGTTTGTGTGCATGTGTGCTTGTAATCAGACAGATCTAGCTTATGGCACAAGGGTAAAAAATATATATACATTTGTTGCTCCACCTGCTTTTGCCTGTGGCTCTGCCCACCACTCGCAGGTGGCCCTCAGAAGGTTACCCAGGTGGGAAATGTGGCCCTTGAGCTGAAAAAAGGTTCCCCACCATGGTGTAATAAATAATTCTCCTGCCTGTTCACAGAACCATTCCTCCAGGGTACTCCCTTTCTCAACTGTAATGTACCCTTCAACGCATCTCTCACTTTCCTCTTAAAAAAAAAGAAAAAGCAGGTACAGAAATCTTGAATCTTCTGGTTGTTCCTTTCCATGGTGTGCCTTCGCAAGAGATGGGTCACGTAGAAAAGGGAATACGCTGGCCGCATAATCAATAGCTTCATATCTTGTTCCAATAAAATTATCTTGATAAGATGAGATGAGGTCTTAATCCTGCCTCCCACCCCTCGTTCGGACATTCACTCCAGGAGGCTACCCTGGTCGATGGTATCGAAAGCTGCTGAGAGGTTGAGAAGAATTAGCAGGGACATTTTTTCTTTGTTTCTCTCTCGACAGAGGTCATTGTACAGGGCGACCAAAGCAGTTTCTGGGCCAAAACCCAGCATCAGTAGTGTGCATGGGTTTTTACAAGGCACGTCCCTGCCCCCAAGCTCATTGCTGTCTAAAAGAGGTGTGCATCAGGGATGCAAAGAAAGGAAGGATGCTGATTCCGGATGGAGTCTCTTGAGTTTGGGGCTCCAGGTGCAAGCGTGACTCATTGTTTCACGGACCATTTGCTGTCCAAGCTTACAACAGCTCTACTCCCACTACTGCACACAGTCCAGTCCGGCACCACTGTGCCCCACCTCCAACCATCTCCTTGATGCTTCTCAAAACCCCTCATTCCTTGACACACACACACCCCATTGATTCCACATCCCACATCACTAGTACATCAAAACAGCCTCTCTTCAGGAACAAGCATGGGGAGCTTTCCTTGAGAGGGACATGGGTTGCCAATAGCTGGAGTTGGATGCAGATCCCATTCCTGGGTCTGTTCTGTAAGTTATTATGATGTAGGAGCTGGGAAACCCCAATCAGAAGGTTCTGAGGATAAGGAAGAAGAAGAGCACATGGTGCAGAAATTATCCCCAGAAGATGCTGCTCTGCCATGAAAGGGGGATACCATCTACAGCAAGGATCAGCAACCTTTTTCAGCCGTGAGTCGGTCCACCATCCCTCAGACCATGTGGGGGGGGGCAGACTATATTGGGGGGTGGGAATGAATGAATTCCTATGCACACAAATAACCCAGAAATGCATTTTAAATAAAAGCACACATTCTACTCATGTGAAAACACCAGGCAGGCCCCACAAATAACCCAGAGGTGCATTTTAAATAAAAGGACACATTCTACTCATGTGAAAACACCAGGCAGGCCCCACAAATAACCCAGAGGTGCATTTTAAATAAAAGGACACATTGTACTCATGTAAAAACACGCTGATTCCTGAACCGTCCACGGGCCGGATAGAGAAGGCGATTGGGCCGCATCCGGCCTCCAGGACTTAGGTTGCCTACCCCGATCTACAGCACCTGAAAAAGTCATTCTGTCTTTCTTTTCGGACTCATATTTCTTCACTCTCTGTGGAGCAGGAAACCCCCTAGCTCTGCCAGAGTCGGTGTCGTAAGAGCCAAGCGCAGCTCCTTTAAAGCCTCGGCCCAGTATACCTGAAGAAGCATCTCCACCCCCATCGTTCAGCCCGGACACTGAGGTCTGACTCTGAGGGCCTTCTGGAGGTTCCCTCACTGCAGGGAACCAGGCACAGGGCCTTCTTGGTAGTGGCGTCCACCTTGTGGAACACCCTCCCATCAGATGTCAAGGAAATAAACGACTATCTGACTTTTAGAAGACATCTGAAGGCAGCCCTGTTTAGGGAAGTTTTTAATGTTTGATGTTTTATTGTGTTTTTAATATTCTGTTGGGAGCCACTCAGAGTGGCTGGGGAGGCCCAGCCAAAATTATTTATTTATTTATTTATTTATTATTATTATTATTATTATTATTATTATTATTATTATTATTATTATCACAGTGGGACACAGCTAGAAACCCCGAGCTGCGTGAAGGCCATGTCAACCAGGGATAGAGAACCCTTAGAGGTTGTTGGACTCCAACTTCCATCAGCCTACGCCAGCATGGCCAATGCTCAGAGCTGATGTGAACTGCAGCCCAGAGACGAACCATAGCGCCAAGAGTTAGTTAATTTAACCCCCTCCCCCCCGTGGGTTACAACTGCAGCACAAAAATTCTCTGCGCACAAAAATGGAAAGAAACAAAAATACCCACCCAAGAAGAATGGACAAGCAAGCTGATGCAGAACTGGCAAAGTTAACAGTTAAAATATGAGAACTTAATGATGAAGGTTTTGTGGAAGAATGTAAGCCCCTTTCGGTTTATTTAAAGAATGATTATTACATGACAAACACGCAAGCAGAATCTGAAATATGAGCAACAGAAGGGTTTAAAGATGACAGAAGTTTGGTTAAGGTTTAAGAGATAGAAGACAGCGTGCAACAGAGGGAGAGAAACAGAAACACATGGAAAATGGGGTGGGAAGTCGAAAAAAAGAGAAAAAAGTTTGGATTGTGAATTGAAATGTATGTGTGAAATTTGGGAAAACTTAATTTTTAAAAACGGAGGGGAGGGACACACCCAGAGGGCTCTCCTGACATGCTGAAGCAACATACTAGCCAGCTGCATGTAGCTGTTGTTGTTGTTTAGTTGTTTAGTCGTGTCCGACTCTTCGTGACCCCATGGACCAGAGCACGCCAGGCACTCCTGTCTTCCACTGCCTCCCGCAGTTTGGTCAAACTCATGCTGGTAGCTTCGAGAACACTGTCCAGCCATCTCGTCCTCTGTCGTCCCCTTCTCCCTGTGCCCTCCATCTTTCCCAACATCAGGGTCTTTTCCAGGGAGTCTTCTCTTCTCATGAGGTGACCAAAGTACTGGAGCCTCAGCTTCACGATCTGTCCTTCCAGTGCATAGCTTGGAGCTGTCCGTGGTCCTGCTTTTGTGCCTATGCTCTAGGCAGGTGCAGGAATTCAGACCCAAGACTCAAATCTGGCTTGGTTTGAGTCACGTGCAAAGCCTGTGCATCGGCAGGTTTGTTCAAGGGGCAAGAGTCCAAGATAAGCCAATAAGCAGCTGGCTTCTTATTTGGATTCAGAAGGCAGATGGGAAGGTCCAGAGACTCCCAGAGGGTATGAGGAGCCAGGGGCAGGTGTGAGGCTGGAGCCCTGCCACAATGCAAGGAACCACGTGAGTATACGCTGTGAGCCATGTGGCAGGGCCATGGCAAGGACCTGCAGAATCCACAGCAGTGATGTGGGGTGGAGAGCTTGCTTTGCGGGGGCCAGAACTAGCATGCCCCAGTTCCACCCCACCCTCAACCAGGACAGCTCTGGGAACAGGCTGCATTGGTCCTCTTCCTTGGTTTTCGTTGTCTGCAGCAACTGCAACTCTCTTTGTTCCTGATCCTTGTCAATTAGTTCTGACTGTTTATGTTGCTGCAGGCAGAGGGAAGGAAGAGCTGTGCAAGGACTTAGCACGCAAAAGGAAACGGTGTGATTTAAGGCAGAAGGCAGCTGCTCTGCCGCACGCAGAACGTTTGTTTCTATTACCATCGATTTGTTGTTCCCTCCTTTGCACTAAAAATCAATTTTTAAGAAGAGAAAAATTCATAGTGGCAAGTCGCATCTTGCCTTTCAGAGGAGATGGATTCTTTTCCCGTTCTAAGCCCCTCGCAGCTGCTGCAGAGAGGCTTAAGAGAGAAGAGAAATTTGGTGCTGGCGATAACAGCGTTAAGCTTTGCACAGGTAGCTGAGAGGATCAAGCTCATCTGAAGTGGCTGAACACGTCGCTCCTAAACCTATTTGCTCATACAGGACCTCTGAGACTCAGGTGCAGAATTTGCTGCCTTGCAAAGAACGGGTGGGGAAATTGTGGCCCTCCTGATGTCGTTGGACTCCAACTCCCATCAGCCCCAGCCAGCATAGCCAATGGTCAGGAATGATGGGAGTTGGGTCCCTGATCGCTGTTGCATAGGATATAGCACTGTGTGTGTTACCTCTCTTACGAGCAGCTAAGATTATGCTAAACAAATATTTAAAAAGAATATTAAACCACCACAATATTAAAAGGAGTAATTCATAAAACAATCAGTGGAATTGAAACAAGAATGAAGCAGCATAAAAGCGAAGTAGGGGAGACTTTCAAAGCCCAAGAAATTAAAAAGCTCTTTAGTAAAGGTAAAGGGACCCCTGACCATTAGGTCCAGTCGTGGCCGACTCTGGGGTTGCAGCGCTCATCTTGCTTTACTGTCCAAGGGAGCCGGCGTACAGCTTCTGGGTCATGTGGCCAGCATGACTAAACTGCTTCTCGTGAACCAGAGCAGCGCACGGAAACGCCGTTTAGCTTCCCGCCGGAGCAGTACCTATTTATCTACTTGCACTTTGACGGCTTTCGAACTGCTAGGTTGGCAGGAGCAGGGACCGAGCAACGGGAGCTCACCCCGTTGCAGGGATTCGAACCGCCGACCTTCTGATCGGCAAGTCCTAGGCTCTGTGGTTTAACCCACAGCACCACCCGCGTCCCTTAAAAAGCTCTTTACTTGGTACCAAAGCAACATAAAGGCAAGTCTCCCTAGGGAGACACTACAAGAACATTTTTTCCCTGGACCAAACCATCAGTTGATGGGGACGCCTAAAGAAGACCCCCTAGTTAAAAGATCTTGGAACAAACTTCACCAACCTGAACCCCTTCAGACAGTTTGTGGTTTTGCCCCAGTGTGGCAAAGCGTGGTTGGTCCTCAAACCAGCAAGCCTCAACCACAGTTTAATACTGCCTTGAAGATAAACAATGGTTTGTACAAACCATAGTTTGTCACGTTTTGATGAAATGGCCAATTATAGTTTGCCACAGACCAGAAGCAGAAGCTCCTCACCACCACTTCCCCTCTCACTCAAGGGAAGGGGAGGAAGAAACATGAGAGTTTGAGGTTCATCACAGATTTGTTCTCGTAACAGGTCACTATGGTTTGTCATCACACCTGCACAAAGTCCACGGTTTTGCGCATGCTTTCTGACCCACAGTCACACACAACTGACCAACCCACAGTCACACACAACTGACCAACCTTTCTTGGAACTGCTTTGAGGGGATCAGCCCTGCCCGGAGATTCGTGTCGCCCACACGTTTGGCCTGCCACCACGTCGGGTCGTCCTGGCTCACCACCTCCAAGATGTGCCTTTTCTGAAATGGCAGCCCGGCCTCCTGGCATGGGATTGCTTTATCCTCTTTTGGGTTGTAGGAGAAGAGGGCTCTCATGAACACCTGGGAAGGAAGGAAGGAACATCACATCCAGTGCTACATGAGAAAAGCTGCAAATTTTTGTATTGTCCAAAGGATTTAGCACTCTCCAATTATTAGCAAACAAAATGAAATAAACATCATTGATTCTCAAAATGGCTGGCAACACAGGGAGAACATATATTAGCTGCCCCCCCCCAAAAAAAAATTCACAACAGCCATTCACAACATGTGAATTTGTGGGGCCATTTCAGTTATTAAAAATATTTTACATGAATAATGTTGCCTTTGGGGTGGGCCTAAAGCAGTTAAAGTGGTTTTAGACAAGAGGAAACACTTACCACGGGGGAGGGATGGTGACTTCCTATTATAATATCATCATTATCATTATCATTTATTTATACCCTGCCCATCTGGCTGGGCCTCCCCAGCCACTCTGGGCGGCTCCCAACAAAATATTAAAAACATGATAAAACATCAAACATTAAAAACTTCCCTAAACAGAGCTGCCTTCAGATGACTCCTAAAAGTCAGATAGTTGTTTATTTCCTTGACATCTGATGGGAGGGTGTTCCACAGGGCGGGCGCCACTACCGAGAAGGCCCTCTGCCTGGTTCCCTGTAACCTCACTTCTCACAGTGAGGGAACCACCAGAAGGCACCTCAGTGTCCGGGCTGAACGATGGGGGTGGAGACGCTCCTTCACTTTCATTCCCTACCTCTCTTCCCCATCAAGAATGGTAGGTGTATAGGCCTCACCATGCTGAACTACAATTCCCAGCATCCCCTGACCTTTGGCCATGCTGGCTGGGGGCTGATGGGACCTGGAGTCCACCAACACCAGGAAGGCTCCACATTCCTGTGTGACTTTTTTAAAGGAAAAAATGTGTTTGTTATGGTGGCGGCAGGTTTTCTTACATTGTTTTTCCCCAAAAAAAACCCCCACCTTACAATCTAGAAAAACTAGACAATTTAATGCTAGTGGCGTTCTAGGAATATTCTGGGGGTGGACACTGGGTGGACAGGGAGCTGTTAAGAAGTTGAAGCAATATTTTTAAAACAGTTCAAGGGGGGAAAGGAATCTGCTACTGCTAGGGGGCAGGCTCACACAAGCCACAGGAACACCGTTGTCCCCCAACACCTATGTTCAGAAGAATGTCTGAACAGGCCCAGAGTGTCCTCGTATGTTGGCAAACTCCCTCACCTTGCTTTCTTTCAGGCGATCTTCTTCTTTGACAGCCGGGATTATTTTCAGCGTTATCGACCCCTGGGACTGCGCCTAAGAGAAAATAAGTCTGCGTTGTCATTTCTGTGGAAAATTAGACGACGTCTGCAAACACTGCTTGGGTCACTTTGATGCTCGATACTCAGGGACATCGAAAATTGGCATACGCAGAGGCGGACTGTTGGCCCACCTTGTAAAGTCTTATCGACACGGACCAGTATCGTCTCTCAAAGGTTTCAGCCACAAACCATTCCCAATTCTTCCCGGAGACATCAGTGGCTGAACCTGAGACCTTCAACCTGCAAAATGTGCATTCTGCTGTTGCATGACAGCCTTTCCCTGAAAGCAACGCATTCCTGCGTTTCTAGATCTCGGTAGATGAGTCAGGGGCATATATGACTCATCAGCAAAAGGAAAAAGATTTGTGCAAGAGCTGAATGCTGAGGTGTCAAAGTATAGTTTTGTCCCAAGTGCGGATCCTATTCAGAGAAGACCTACTGCAGTTAGTGGATCCAAGTCACCCACGGCAATTTACTGCATTGGGTCTACTCTGAGTAAGTCGACCACTGGATGCAACCCACGGCCATCATTTTTAACGGAGGGAGAAAGAGGGAAATTAGAAATCAGTGTGGCATACTGGGTAAGGTGGTGAACTGTATCAGGGAGTCTTGGGTTCGAATTCCCTACTTTGCCAGGATGTTTTCTCTGGAAGCCTTGGGCTAGTGACTCTTAACCCAGCTAGCCTACCTCTCAGGGGTTGGAGAACAAAATGTGATGACATCCTGGAGGAAAAGTAATGTGATAGACAGGTTAGGTGGCATTTTCCCTATCATTTCACAGCTTGGAGTGACGATACTTTGGATTAAAGCCACGCCAGCAAGTCTTTGACCACTCTCCGATTTTATTTCAATGGATTCTCTGCCTGGCCTGCTTTCAAAGCAGATCTCCACATTTGTTAATATGGTGTTTATGATTACATTTGGTTGGGGCTGCTTTGGCTGTCGTCAGCCTACTGTGAGACTCAAATGCTGACCTGTGTGTAACCTGCAATTTGGTTCTGTGATTTGCATCCTAACTTTTTTTCCTTTGGGGGGAAAAGGCTGCAGCTAATGATTGATTGATTGATTGATTGATTGACAGATTGATTGATTGATTGATTGATTGATTGATTGATTGATACATACCCAGCCCATCTGGCTGGGTTTCCCCAGCCACTTTTGGTGGCTCCCAACAGAATATTAAAAACACGATAAAACATCAAACATTAAAAACGTCCCTAAACAGGGCTGCCTTCAGATGTCTTCTAAAAGTCAGATAGATGTTTATTTCCTTGACATCTGATGGGAGGGCGTTCCACAGGGTGGGCGCCACTACCGAGAAGGCCCTCTGCCTGGTTCCCTGTAACCTCACTTCTTGCAGGGAGGGAACCGCCAGAAGGCCCTCAGAGCTGGACCTCTGTGTCTGGGCTGAACGATGGGGGTGGAGACACCTCTTCAGGTATACTGGGCACAGGATATGCTTTTGCTTGCAAAAGGTTCCATGGTTCAGTCCTCAACATCTCTAGGTAAGGCTAGAAAAACTCCCACCTGAAACCTTGGAAGAGGTACAGTGGATACCTCGGGTTAAGAACTTAATTCATTCTGGAGGTCTGTTCTTAACCTGAAACTGCTCTTAACCTGAGGTACCACTTTAGCTAATGGGGCCTCCTGCTGCCGCCGAAGCACAATTTCTGTTCTCATCCTGAAGTAAAGTTCTTAACCCAAGATACTATTTCTGGGTTAGCGGAGTCTGTACCCTGAAGCGTCTGTAACCTGAGGTACCACTGTACTGCCAGTTAAGTGGGAACAGTACTGAGCTAGATAGACCGATGATATTAACAGCTTCTTAATTCTGCACAAGCTCAGAATTTAGTACCAGCTGCAGGAAACAGCACCTTGACAATCTCAATTCTTTCTTTCTTTCTTTCTTTCTTTCTTTCTTTCTTTCTTTCTTTCTTTCTTTCTGGTTTTTGTTTGGCAATTCAAGCTATTTTCAAGAAGCCTAAATTGCAATGAAGACAGAGAAGAGGGGGACAGAGACCAGACGAATTTTTTGTATGATCGTGGTCAGCTCATTATGGAGGATAGAGCTATCAGTGGCTACTACCAGAGTCAGACCAAGACGTTTAAGAACCTGAAGCAGACCTCAAAATGGTGTCCGTCTCTCTGCCAGGGAAAATCTACATCAGGAACAAGAAAGAAAGACACTGGGATTTGTTGCCCCTGTTGATCCTGCCACCTGAGGCAATCGCCTCAACTTGCCTAACAGGTGGACCGGCCCTATCTACTACCCACAATAACAATGTTCTCCTTCCACCATCAGAGGCATATGGTCAGTTGCCAAGAATCACAAGAGGGGACTCTGCATGGGGCTTTGGCTTGTTCCAGAAGGGGCTTTTCTTATGTACTTATGACCCTTCGCAACTAGCAAACGCAGCGGGGGAAACCAATGCACTGAACAATCCAATGTATGTTCAATTGCACCATTTCCACAGGTTACAAAAACCAGCTCACCTCGACAGAGAACGTGGCGTTTTTAGAACAGATATCACATCCCCTTGTCAAACGGTGTTGGGAGTTTTCAGGTTCTGCTGTTACATTCTGAACGGCAACAGGTATTTTTCCTGGGTTCTTTTTGTCCCGGGGTTGGGGTGGAGGAGACGGACAGGGTTTTTTTGTTTTTACATGTGGGGTTTTGGTATTAAAATCGCATCTTGCATGCACCATATTCCCAGAGCCTGCTAAAAGCAGACAACTGCCGCGAGGCCTTGAAAAGAGAGAAAGCCGCAGGAAGGCCTCTTTGTAACCTGAAGCTCTTCAGCAGAGCTTAAACGATTCTTAAGTGCTTGAATGAGGTTCCTGAAAGTTACAGGTTCCCTTTTGTTGCGGAACCTAGGGAAGGAAGAGAAAAAGGCACTTTCCCCTCTTGGACTGAAAGAGAGTTCTGAACAGTTTGGCTCCCTTTCCTCGCAAGACTCTGAGAACATTAATTGACCCATTCAAAGGTATCATTCCACTTTGCTGTCTTGTTTCCATGCTAGGTGGTAAAAGATGAAAGGATGTTCCGCTTCCCGTTGTGGCACTTAGCTCATTTCCCAGCTCCTTCAAGTAGCAAGTGTTCAGACAACCTCTTTATGTCACACTGCAAAGCATCACCTAGATTATTAACAGCACACATTTTTAGGCCATGCCACATCGCAGAATGTGAGGTGGGGAACTAACCGCATCATTGTCAATGCAGAAGTAAATTCTATTGAGCATAGGATTGCAGCTTTGATGGGCCATCAATCGCTTAGACTAATCACTTTTGGGGGGCAGGGAGAAATCAACTGAATGATTAAAGTTAACAAATTGAAATTAATTTGGCAGCATAGTTTTCTTTAAAAACAATGATACAGTCATACCTCATGTTACATTTGCTTCATGTTACGTTCTTTCAGGTTACGTCCTGGGGTGACCGGGAAGTACCGAAAGGGTTACTTCCAGGTTTCGCCGCTCGTGCATGCGCAGAAGTGCAAAATGAAGTCATGCGCATGCGCAGAAGCGCCAAATTGCAACCCGCACGTGTGCAGATGCGCCACTGCAGATTGCGCTCCTTTCATGTTGCGATCAGGCCTCCAGAACGGATCTCGTTCGCAACCAGAGGTACCAATGTAATTATAATACAGCGGTACATCGGTTGTCAAACAATCTGTTCCGGAAGACTGTTCAACTTCCGAAACATTTGACAACCGAGGCGCAATGAATGGTCGGCAAATTCATTTGAGAAAATTGACCACTGAGCCTCGGAAGCCGTCCAACTTCTGAGGCACGTTCAAAAACAGAAGCTTTTACTTCCAGGATTTCAGCGTTCGAAAACCGAAACGTTCAACCAAGGTACCACTGTATTTTTACAAAACCCTGGAGATGGCAAGCCCTTTCTTCAGGAGAAGGAAGGCTTTTTCTGCTCTACCTGCTGCGATTGACTTAAAATATATCTTGCTTGCTGATTGTTCTACAATATCATAGAATCGTAGAATTGCAGAGTTGGAAGGGACCCCGAGGGTCATCTAGTTCTAGTCCAACTCCCTGCCATGCTGGGATTTCAGTTAAAGCATCCATGACAGATGGCTGTCCAACCTCTGCTTAAAAACCTCCAAGGAAGGAGAGTTCACAACCTCCCAAGGGAGACCGTTCCACTGTCAAACAGCTCTTACTGCCAGAAAGTTTTTTTCCTGATGTTCTCATAATCTACTGGATAGTTTTGTTGTTTTAATACGCTTTTCAACACTGGGGTGGCATCTCTGAGCCAAGAAGAGGTAGATAAATAGATTGTAATAAAAGGAGAGGTAGAACATGATTTTTACATGCACCATAGCAAATGGTTTAGGTCCTTTGCTCCCATCAGAAAGTGATGTTAGGAACAGGTTGTACATCAAAACCCTTCTAACCCCTGTATCCAGCAAGCATTACAATACAGTGGTACCTCAGGTTACAGACACTTCAGGTTACAGACGCTTCAGGTTAAAAACTCCGCTAACCCAGAAGTAGTACCTCGGGTTAAGAACTTTACCTCAGGATGAGAACAGAAATCATGCAGTGGCGGTGTGGTGACAGCGGGAGGCCCCATTAGCTAAAGTGGTGCTTCAGGTTAAGAACAGTTTCAGGTTAAGAACGGACCTCCAGAATGAATTAAGTTCTTAACCTGAGTTACCACTGTATAAGCCAGGCTAAGTTCCTGGTGAGGTGATCGCCTGGGTGAAGGAACGATTAAGAAGAACGAAGGACAGTGGCTCTGTGTGATACAGCGAATGGGTGGGGCCCCTCCTTAAACTCACAGGGAGCCTCTCATTCCAAACTACAGATGGGCAATCCCCCCCCCCATCTACCTCAAGTTGATCTAGAAATGAATCAAAGAATTCCTGGAGGAGCAGGGAGGGATGCGTAAAGAATTCTGTTTATTTTCCAAGCCTGTCTGAGACAGAAAAAAATCTAAACTGAGGTGGAGAAGAATTTATTGGGTGGCTCTAAAACAGGCATGAGGGACGCGGGTGGTGCTGTGGTCTAAACCACAGAGCCTAGGACTCGCCGATCAGAAGGTTGGCGGTTCGAATCCCCAGGACGGGGTGAGCTCCCGTTGCTCGGTCCCTGTCTTGCCAACCTAGCAGTTCGAAAGCATGTCAAAGTGCAAGTAGATAAATGGGTACTGCTCCGGCGGGAAGGTAAACAGCATTTCCATGCGCTGCTCTGGTTTCGCCAGAAGCGGCTTAGTCATGCTGGCCACATGACCTGGAAGCCAGTAAAGCGAGATGAGCGCCGCAACCCTAGAGTCGTCTGCGACTGGACCTAATGGTCAGGGGTACCTTTATCTTTAAAACAGGCATAGGCAAACTCGGCCCTCCAGAGGTTTTTGGGACTACAATTTCCATCATCCCTGACCACTGGTCCTGTTAGCTAGGGATGATGGGAGTTGTAGTCCCAAAACATCTGGAGGGCCGAGTTTGCCTATGCCTGCTATAAAAGCTTTGAGGTGGGCTTTTCCAAGCCTGTCGTGGAATAACTTTGATCGCATCCTGGATAGTTCAGCTGGTTAGAATGTGGCACTGATAATACCAAGGCTGCAGGTTCATTCCCTGTATCTGTCAGCTGTGTATTCCTGCATTGGGGGGGGGGCTGGACTAGATGATACTCAGGGTCCCTTCCAACTCTACAGTGCTGACATGGGGGGATCCCAAGGTTTCTCTTCCCTGGTCTGCTCTGAATAGAAGCAGAAGATCTCTCGCACATAGCACTCCTTTCCAGCCCTGTTATGGGAGGTTTCAAGTCATCATAGCCAGAGATGCTGAACCTCAAACACTTCTGCCTGCAAATCGTGACCCATCTGAATGTCCTCCCTTATTTTTCACAAATTGCACAATACTTCCCTGGCCCCAATTTGAAGGGAGCGGACGACTTGCAGAAGAAATCAAACACCCTTACGATGTTCTCCAGAACATCTCACTTTTCCTCCCCTTTGCAAAGATTACTTCCTGCTCCCCCCCCCCCTAGTTCTCTTATTTAAAGAAGAGGGAGAAAAAGACAACAGTGATGATTCAGGTGTCCTTGGCTACTCCACCATCTCCCAAGGCCAACTTTTGTAGTTCTTGCTTGGTTTCAGAAAGAGGCATTTGTGATTTCGGTGGTAATTACAGCAGAAGCATCAAGGATCACATTCGGGTTGCTTTTTCGGTTCCCCTGCGTAGGAGTCGCCGGGAACGTCATCTCCTCCTTGGCACAGAAGAAGCGTGCCTTGTGACGGCATAATTAATGCTGTGCCAACGCTGGCAAATTAAGTGGCTCTGTGCACCGCCAGAATGACAGGAGAGTCACGTTCCCGATTAGCAGACTCCTCTTCTGGAGAGGAGAGTGGAGTGTGCCGAGCTCCAGCAAATGAAACACTGGGAGCCCTCTTTAAGTTTGCCATCGCCACTTTGAAGCCGTGCCTGCCCAACACCTGATGCCATGTACAATGTCAGATGCAGGTCAAGGGGGTGTGGCTTTCCCCAAAAAGTCTTGAAAGCCATTTGGCCCAGAGGTTCCCCACCCCTGTCTATGAGAGAGAGATGGCAGGGGGAGAAAAAAACTCTTTTAATATGGGTCTTGCCCCTTGCAGTTTTAACAAGTTCTTGCATTGCTAATAATTAGATGATCAAGTATTCTTAATAATTAAATCATAATTGATTCATCATGTAAATATATATATATATATATATATATATATATGCTTTCGTAGATTTTCACGGGTACAGGAATGCAGGTTTTGGTGTCCTCGGGTGTCTTCCCGTGTAAAAGTTGGGGTGTCTAGGCGACGTTTCTATACATATCTACATCTATATATATATACACACACACACACACACACACACACACACACACACACACACATATACACACAGAGAGAGAGAGAGAGCAGTACCTCAGGTTAAGAACTTAATTCGTTCTGGAGGTCCGTTCTTAACATGAAACTGTTCTTAACCTGAAGCACCACTTTAGCTAATGGGGCCTCCCACTGCTGCCGCGCAATTTCTGTTCTCGTCGAAACGTCGACCTCGTCGAAACGTCGACCTCGTCGAAACGTCGCCTAGACACCCCAACTTTTACACGGGAAGACACCCGAGGACACCAAAACCTGCATATATATATATATATATATACACACACATACATATACATATACATATGTACATATATGCATATACATATCTACATCTATATATATACACACACACACACACACACACACACACACACATATACACACAGAGAGAGAGAGAGAGCAGTACCTCAGGTTAAGAACTTAATTCGTTCTGGAGGTCCGTTCTTAACATGAAACTGTTCTTAACCTGAAGCACCACTTTAGCTAATGGGGCCTCCCACTGCTGCCGCGCAATTTCTGTTCTCATCCTGAAGCAAAGTTCTTAACCCGAGGTACTATTTCTGGGTTAGCGGAGTCTGTAACCTGAAGCGTCTGTAACCCGAGGTACCACTGTATATATACATACGTGTGTGTGTGTGTGTGTGTGTGTGTGTGTGCATATATAGAGAGAGCCCTAAAATTAAATCATTCTGTTTGATTAGCAACTATTGTTATCTTTGTAAAAATTCCACAGCCCCAAATATCAGTACAGTTGCGTCTGCGCATGTGTGGGTTGTGATTTGGTGCTTCTGCGCATGCGCAAAGTGTGATTTAGTACTTCTGTGCATGTGTGAGCACCGAAACCTGGAAGTAACCTGTTCCAGTACTTCCAGGTTCGGTGTGGTGTGCAACCCGAAAACGTGCAACCCGAAGTGTCTGTAACCCGAGGTAGAACTACCTTTCAAAGTCAGTTAAACCAATTCAGTGATTAATTGCACAGTCCAATTTGTGTCTATTCAGAATCATGTCCCACTGAGGACCTACAGTACAGGCCAAACCGTATCTACACAGAAGAGCACCCTACTGAATTGAACAGGGCTTACTCCCAGGTAAATGTGGGGTGTGATAGCAGCCTTCCTCCCTTAGGCTGCTGTCCTGTATGTGTACGCACACACTTACCCAGGAGTAAGCTGAATTGAGCTATGTGGGACTTGCATGCATAAGATTGAGCTGTAAACACTGGAACCCTGATAAAATAGAAAATAAAGCACGGAAAACAAACCAAAATCTGACTAATTTCTTCCGGTCGTTTGTGAAGCACAGCAACCCCGTTGACTTCCCGCAGCTCGTCTCCAACATGAACAAGACCTAAAAGGCAGAGGAGGAGAAATATTAAAAAGAGCTTCCTTTCCAGGATAGAAAAAATCCCATTCATTCCTTGCAATAATATCCAACAGCTCACACAGAGGACAAAGCTTGCTTATTTCCAAAGCCTGTGCACAGAATGAGCAGAACAGAAAAACAAAACAAAACCTTCCGTGTTCCATTAAATTCAATTAAAAGCACAACTTTATGTGTTTCCTGCTCAGCTATGAAACTCAATCGGTGACTTCAGGCCAAACCCTAGACCAGATTGGACAATAAACCATGGTTTATGAAGCCAGGAATGAGCAGTGGGGCAGAGTACTCCTCTCTGCCCTGCCCCATCTCCTGGCTTCTTTTTCTGCTTTGTTAACCTTCCCCAGCTCAGACGTAATGGAGAACCTCTGATTTAATACCTGCCAGGCCCTTCAGGTTGTGACACAATGTTGGGCTTCAGCCTCCATCACTCCCATTGGCCACGCTGGCTGGGGCTGATGGGAGATGGAGCCCAACAAGCTTTCAAAGGCGCTACAAATCTGGAGGGCTTGCTGTATAGGGTTGATACAGTCTTCCAGCCCAGATGGTTGCAGGGAGGGAAATGTAAATAAACCACTGTCCCAATGAAACGATGCAAAAAAGCCTCCTCAAATGCAGATGTTAGCATTATGGCATCATATCGTGACCTTTCAGAACAAATATGCAAGCCAACAATTTCCACCAGGCAAGGAGAAGACTGTGCAAAGCAATGGGGCTGCCCTTTGGAGAATAACATCTCCCATAATCCACTGCAACCCATCACACCGTTAGCCAGAAGTGCAGATGACAGCAAAGGTTGCAAGGTTTTTAGCTGGGGCAATCAGAATAAGGTCCACTCTTTGACTGCTGATTCAGGACCCTAAACTGTGTTTTATATAATCGGCTTTTAATTTTGTTCTGTGTATATCACAATGTTCTTTTGTTGCTATCACCGATGGCTGAGGCAAATAAAGTTTCATTCAAATTCAATTCACACCGTTAGCAAGCTCCAGTGAAGAGCATATTTGGGGGCTGTGGGGGGAGAGGGTAACTTTCCAAGCTTGCTTTTTCTTAACCTTGGGTCTCTAGATACTGTTGGACTACAACTCTCATCAATCCTAGCCAGAATGGCCAGTGGTGAGGGATGATGGGAGTTGTAGTTCAAGAACATCTGGTGCCCCAAGGTTGAGAAAGGCTGTTCGAAGCTTCCAGATTGGCTGAATGGGTGTGGGTGGGGTGGAACCCTGAGCCAATCAGCTTGCACTCTCTAACTTCAACACAGGGAAACAGAAATCTAGCTGCTGAAGAGACCTACCGCTACGATCAGCAGCCCCTCCCCTCATGATCCGCGCCACGATCACAGCTCCGGTGTGCTCATCCCGCCTGATCGTCGCACCCTAGAATGCAAAGAGACAGACTAATAAAATCACAGAATTAGCAGAACTGGAAGAGACCACAGGGTCATCTAGCCCAACCCCCGTAATGCAGGAATATTTTGCCCAATGTGGGACTCGAACCCACAACCTTGAGATTCAGAGTCTCATGCTCAACCAACTAAGCTATCTCAGCTGTCAACCATTGACACACAGCTCTTGGCTGGCCCACGAGAGCAGCACTGCTGGATACTTTCAGTGTTCCTTAATGCTTGGCTTTGAAGGATATAGTGGCAAAAAAAGCTCCCTATTTTATGCTGGTTAGATGGTTCTAGGATGCTGGACGCAGGCGGCCCTGCAGAGACTGTAGAGACCCTGCTGCAAAAATCAGAACGGGCCTTTGACTCTGGACCACTACACTACTGGCCTCTGAAATTTCCATTTACCTGTCCTTTTTAAAAAAAATTATACTTTTCAAATATATACATTTCACTGATTTTACAATCATTTTGACATGTTAAAATTTGACTTCCTTCCCCTCTTTCTGCGGCTCCTTACATTTATTTTTAATATCTTCTGCATATCCAAATTAAATTAACTTACTCATTTACAGTGGTGCCTCGCAAGACGAAAAGAATCCATTCCACGATTCTCTTCGTCTAGCGGTTTTTTCGTCTTGCGAAGCAACCCCATTAGCGGCTAAGCGGCTTAGCGCTATTAGCGGTTTAGCGGCTATTAAAGGCTTAGCGGCTGAGCTGCTAAAAGGCTATTAGCGGCTTAGCAGCTTAGAAAAAAGGGGGGAGCGGGAAAAAAATGGCAAGACTCGCGTCTTGCGAAGCAAGCCCATAGGGAAATTCGTCTTGCGAAGCACCTCCAAAACGGAAAACCCTTTCGTCTAGCGGGTTTTCCGTCTTGCGAGGCATTCGTCTTGCGGGGCACCACTGTATTTATCTTCTTTAAACATATACTCTTACGTAGCTGCAGGTTATTACAATAATCCTGCCAGTGTTTTTATCTGTTTACAAGTTATCTGAAAAAATTCAACAAACCATTTCCATTCTTTTATAAAAAGTTTATCTTGATTTCTCATTCTTCCAATAAGTTTTGCCATTTCTGCATATTCCATAAGTTTTTGTATCCATTCTTTCTTTGCTGGGACTTCTGCTTCTATCCATTTTTGGGCAAGTAACATTCTTGCTGCTCTAGTTGCATACATGAATAAATTTCTATACAGTCATACCTTGGTTTTTGAACAGCTTACCGTAGTTCTCAAACGTTTTGGCTCCCAAACACCGCAAACCTGGAAGTGACTGTTCTGCTTTGCGAACTATTTTTGGAAGCTGAACGTCTGACGGGGCTTCCGATTGGCTGCAGGAGCTTCCTGCAGCCAATCAGAAGCAGCGCTTTGGTTTCCGAAGGTTTTGGAAGTCGAACGGACTTCCGGAACGGATTCCGTTCGACTTCCAAGGTACGACTGTACAATTTAGGTAGCTCTATCCCTATAGCTCCCAAGAGAATTATAATGATTTTCCTGTCTTAGCTAAATGCACTCAATGTGGCAATGCCAGCCAATTGCAAAGGCTTTAAAATGAGATTGTGCAGAGGCTCAACTCATCTTAGAGTGAAATGGAACCTCGCTCTCCAGAAGCAATATCCATGCCCCCATACCCTGCTAGTGGGGCTTCCTGAAAACATCTGATTGGCCACTGTGGGAAGCTAGATGCTGGCCTGTTCAATTCAGCAAGCTTTTTCTCCTGTTCTTGCAAGCCCTTTCGCTGCCTGTGGCACAGGCCGTGATAATACATACGCACCAAAGGCTCTTTATTCTTCACCAGGCGAACTATTTTCACAGACTCCTCGTCGAAATCTTCATCAATGTTGTCCGGCAAAGGAGGGAGGACAGGGTCAAAATTCTTCTGGGCAACTGTGTCGTGGACAGCAAGCATGGCCTTGGGGTTGCAAGGGAATGGGAAGAGAGAGGAAAGAGGCAGCAGGGCGTAAGGAGACAGGAAGGGATTCTTGCAGATTTCCAAGCAGGACACGTCAATCAACTAAGGCAGGTATCAGGGAACGGCCATCGGCTCGGGGCGAGAGGGGAAAAGCCGGATGGATTACACAGAGCCCCCAAAGATCGTGGGAAGCACCACCTCCGCAGCGGAGGAGAGTAACCACACCTCCAGTGGAGAGGAGCGAGGCAGTGCCAGGACACTTTGCCTGGGCAAAGCGGGGAGGAGAGAGGTCCTCCGTTATCCACACCCTCCCTGCTCAGTAGGCTTCCGCGCCGAGAGGGGAGGCGCAGATTGGGCATCAAGAAACTATTCTGCTGGGGAAGGTTTAAGGACCACCCACTCACAGATTCTGCCAGTGAATGAGCCAGCCACGGGAGAGTGGCGCTCTGCACAGAGAAAGTTTATTTTGGCATCAAAAGCACGGCTTCACAGCCGAGCAGGGAGGCATTTGCCTACTTGCTCTCGAGCAACCCCTTGGTACCCTAACAGCAGGCATAGGCAAACTCTGCCCTCCAGATGTTTTGGGACTACAACTCCCATCATCCTTAGCTAACAGGACCAGTGACACAATTTAGAACAGGCCAGCCACATCACTCAGCCACAAAAATACCAGCAGCACATTCCCAAACTATCTCAAGCACCCAAGCAGCAACGCCAAAGTCAAAACAATTCAAAGGAGCTTGTCAGCCAATCATCCCAGCCTGGATTCCTTTTTAATCTTCTTTATTTGTGAAGCCTAAAAGATAAATCACTTCTATGCAAGAAAGAAAAAAAAGAGAGCAATCTTTAAAAGACATTGGGGGGGGGGAGAATACATGAGGTCGGGCCTTATTGTGTAACTTATCATTCCAGAAAGGGAGTCCAATTTTTGACAAACTGTCATTTAAAAATCTTCAGAAGTTTAAAACTAATTGGAAATTGGAGCTACAGAAGATAACCTCCAAAATGCAGCAGCGGAACATTTTTTTCTGCTGTAAGGATATTAACAATTAGTTCTAAGTAAACTGTTTCAATACATTCATTCAAGGAGCGTAACAGTGACAGCAAATGAAGACCTACTCAGAGTAGACCCACTTAAATCAATAGACAGTTATTTAAGTCCATTGATTTTAATGGATCTACTACAGAGTATGACTAACACTGTCGATCACCCGTTTTCGATTCTGTTTTCGCACATTTAAGTTCAAAATGTCAGTCTACTACCTTTGTTTTACTGTTCACGTTCAGAATACATGTCAACAAACAGCTTTTACAGCAGATCATCTTCTGCAAACATCAATCTTTTTGTAACAGATACAAAAATACCTATGTGGAATTCGATACCATTAGTACATGACTTTGAAAAAGCTCCCTCGCAGGTCAGATATAATCAAAGGGAAACAAATATTGTTGCCAGCTTTCTAATAACTATGAGCAAGAGCGCCGCCCTAGTGGGCCATCCTCAGTAGTGTAGGTCATAGAGGGGGAGCCACAACTGGAAAGTCCCTGTTCCTTGTTCTCACCAGCCTTTGAAGTCTGGGGTACCTGAGCTAATAAGGAGAATCTGCACCCTGGGGTATCCTGCTATACACTGCTGGGGCTCTGAAGTTTAATATTAGCACTTTGAACTGGGCCCAGACATCAAATGCAGCCAGTATCAGCTTCCCAATGAGCAAACCTGCAAGATATCCACAGGTTGTATTGTTGGGTATGCACACCTAAGAAATGTAACGTTTGAAGAGCAAGCCACTCTCAATCCTGAGCCCTGATCAAGAACAGCATTTGAGTTGCAGAAAGCTACCCACAGACCCAGTTCAGACATAATGCAAAACCATAGATTGTGCTTTTTTTAAAAAAAGAGCTAAGAATCCACACCAATAATAATAATAATAATAATAATAATAATAATAATAATAATAATTTATATCCCGCCCTCCCCAGCTGAAGCCGGGCTCAGAGCGGCTAACAACAATAAAACAGTACAAACCAAGCCATAGTTCAGAGATAGGAGTCTGTTTTCCTCCCCTCCCCCATCCACTCAGCATTCAGTTTGCAAGTTCATCAGTTCATGCCTGTTTTCAGTGCTTTTGTTTCTTTAAAAAAATGTTTTGGGTTACTCTAATTTTTACTCAAGAAAATCACCATTTAATCGTTCAAATCGGGGGAAATAAATACAGTAAATCAGGCATAGGCAAACTCGGCCCTCCAGATGTTTTGGGACTACAACTCCCATCATCCCTAGCTAACAGGACCAGTGGTCAGGGATGATGGGACCACTGGTCTGTAACCTGAAGCGTCTGTAACCTGAGGTACCACTGTAATTTTATTATGTGTATCCTGTCCATCAGACTCGGTTGCCCCAGCCACTCTGGGTGGCTTCCAACATATATAAAAACATAATAAAACGCTAAACATTTAAAACTTCCCTATACAGGGCTGCCTTCAGATGTCTTCTAAAGGCTGTACAGTCGTACCTTGGTTGATGCCTTAGCAGTCAAACGTTTTGGCTCCTGAACGCCGGAAACCCACAAGTGAGTGTTCCGGTTTGCAAACGTTCTTTTGAAGCCGAATGCCCAGCGGCAGTGGCGTAGCGTGGGGGGTGCAGGGGGGGCCGGCCGCACCGGGCGCAACATCTGGGGTTAGGGCAAATCCATGGGTTAGGGGGCGCAAATCCACAGGTTAGGGGGCGCAAATCCACGGGTTAGGGGGCGCAAATTACTTTCCTTGCCCCGGGTGCTGACAACCCACGCTACGCCGCTGCCCAGCGGGGCTTCCGATAGGCTGCAGGAAGCTCCTGCAGTCAATCGGAAGCCACACCTCGGAAGTCAAACATTTTGGAAGTCGAACGGACTTCCAGAACGGATTCCGTTTGGCTTCCAAGGTACCACTGTATTGTTATCTCCTTGGCTCAGGGGGTCTCACAACTCCATACCCTCCAACATTTCTCCAATGAAAATAGAGAAGGGACGCAGGTGGCGCTGTGGGTTAAACCACAGAGCCTAGGACTTGCCGATCAGAAGGTCAGCGGTTCGAATCTCCGCGACGGGGTGACCTCCCGTTGCTCGGTCCCTGCTCCTGCCAACCTAGCAGTTCGAAAGCACGTCAAAGTGCAAGGAGATAAATAGGCACCGCTCTGGCGGTAAGGTAAACGGCATTTCCGTGCACTTCTCTGGTTCGCCAGAAGCGGCTTAGTCATGCTGGCCACATGACCTGGAAGCTGTACGCCGCTCCCTCGGCCAATAAAGTGATATGAGCACCGCAACCCCAGAGTCAGCCATGACTGGACCTAATGGTCAGGGGTGCCTTTAGCTTTAACTCAGAAACCGGGACGACTTCTGTAAATCCGGGACCATCCCTTGAAAATAGGGACACTTGGAGGGTCTGTTAGTGCCGCACACCCACACAAGGACACCTGTTTCCAAATTGGGATTGCTGAACCCCAGGCCATCTTTAGTTCAGTCTCACTACCGCGCCCCCACCCCTGTAAGCATCCGCAACAGTATACTGTTGGTGGTATATGAGCAATTGCTTTTGCACAGCAGCACCCTTGGAGAGATAATCTTCCTGGCGCATAAGATCCATGCGTGCGAGCGAGTGTGAAAAAGAACACCCTGCTTCCTTGGCTTTCTCTCTTCATTTCCCCTTTAAATTATCTTCCCCCAGCTTTTCCCGCATGTTTTATTAGATCGGCGATAAATCTAAAGAGAACATAATTTCTGCGCTTGCCTGGTATCATTAAATATTTCATACAATGGATCTGAACTGGCACCCAGCCATAAAGCTGCAGCAGAGACTTATGGAAGAAGTATTTTTCCACACTTCAAGGGATAAGTTGGCTTCCGAACAACTAAATGCATACCGATGATGGGGAAGGAGGGAACAACCAACTAGGCGGCAGCAATAGACAGAGTTATTAGGAACCCTGAATGGTGGTGTTAGAAGGCAATAAGGCTGCTTACACACCATACATTTAAAGTACAGTGGTGGCCCGCAAGACGAATGCCTCGCAAGACGGAAAACCCGCTAGACGAAAGGGTTTTCTGTTTTGGAGGTGCTCCGCAAAACGAATTTCCTATGGGCTTGCTTCGCAAGACGAAAATGTCTTGCGAGTTCCTGCAGTGTTTTTTCCTCCCCCCCCCTTTTTTCCCAAGCCGCTAAGCCGCTTATCAGTTGATCCGCTAAGCCGCTTAACAGCTGATCGCTAATCCGCTTATCAGCTGATCCGCTAAGCCGCTTAACAGCTGATCCGCTAAGCCGCTTATCAGCTGATCCACTAAGCCGTTTATCAGCTGATCTGCTAAGCCTGCTAAGCCGCTAATAGCGCTAATCCGCTAAGCCGCTAATGGGCTTGCTTCGCAAGACGAAAAAACCGCAAGACGAAGAGACTCGCGGAACGGATTATTTTCGTCTTGCGAGGCACCACTGTACACATAAAGCACACATCCCCAAAGAACTGGAGTTTACCCCTCATAGAGTTACAGTTCCCAGCACCCTTAAACTACAGTTCCCAGGTTTCTTTGCAAGGGCAAGCAATATTCATTAAATATATGGTGCGTCCACGGCCTAAGAAACTGAATCTGAAAACTGAAACCCCATCTGCTCTATAAATTTCAAGTAGTCTCTCACCGCTTTAAAACAGTCATGGCTTCCCCCAAAAGAATTCTGGGAAGTATAGCATGTCACGGGTGCTGAGGGTTGTTAGGAGACCCCATTCCTCTCCCAGAGCTACCGTTTTTCAAGGTGGTTTAACCAGCAGCCCTTCTGAGGGAACTCTTGGAATTGTAGCTGTGTGAGGGGAATAGAGGTGTCCTAATAAAGGTAATAGGTAAAGGTAAAGGACCCCTGGATAGTTAAGTCCAGTTAAAGGTGACTATGGAGTTGCGTCACTCATCTTGCTTTCAGGTCGAGGGAGCCGGCGTTTGTCCACAGACAGGTCATGTGGCCAGCAGGACTAAACTGCTTCTGGCGCAACAGGACACCATGAAGGAAACCAGAGCGCATGGAAATGTCATTTACCTAACACTGTTTTCCTTCCTGTCATAGCAGTACCTATTTATCTACTTGCACTGGCATGCTTTCGAACTGCTAGATTGGCAGGAGCTGGGACAGAGCAACAGGAGCCCACCCCATTGCAGGGATTCAAACCGCCACCCGCTCCTCATAAATCCTAGCAGCCATAGCAACCTGTACAGTGGTACCTCGGGTTAAGAACTTAATTTGTTCTGGAGGTCCATTCTTAACTTGAAACTGTTCTTAACCTGAAGCACCACTTTAGCTAATGGGGCCTCCCACTGCCACCACGCAGCCGCTGCGCAATTTCTGTTCTCATCCTGAAGCAAAGTTCTTAACCCGAGGTACTATTTCTGGGTTAGCGGAGTCTGTAACCTGAAGCGTCTGTAACCTGAGGTACCACTGTAGTTCCCAGAAGTCAAGGTTCCCCCCAAGCCTGCTACATGACCACCCTCTTATATGGCGTTGGTGCCAACTTAGCGACATAAGCCCCAGCTCTCACCATCCAAATGCAAGATACAAGTAGAATATTGCAGATGCAGAGATCCTTTGGCCCTCTGGATATGGCAGAGCTACAACTCCCATCATCCTTGACCACTGGCCTGCGTGCTAGGGCTGATGGGAGTTGTAGTCCAACATCATCAGAAGGGCCAGAGGATCCCCACACTTTAGACACACCCACACACCATCCCTCCCACTCCTCACCAACTGGGGAAGACCTTGTTGATTTTACTGGGTATAACCAGATTTCTATTTCTTTTACAGGTGATTTTATGTGGGGAGGGGGGTGATGTGGAGGGGGGGAGTGCATAAAAGCAATCTTATTTCTCTGCACTGCCTCCCTCATTGCTAAATCCATTACAGACTGCTGCAACTGGAAATCATTTGAAAACGATTTTTCTTCATACCTTATGGCACCCCGGCGAACGTGATTAAAACCCTGCTCTAAAAACCCTGCTCGTTATAGAGCTGTTTTTAATACCTAAAGGGCAAGGAGAGCAAAAGACCTTCCTCCTGCAGTGGGAGAATAAAGATCTCGTGCCGACAAGCAGGAAGCGGCCATTGATATTATGCATTCGGTGCTGTGGGGCAAGGAGAAGCAGGTTGCAGTGGGTGGGCAGGTTTGGTGAAACATCAGGGTGGGATGAGAAAGTGCGGCTCAGCAGCACAGGACTAAACCGAGGCCTGGCAGTTTCTCAGTGCCACAAATACCACGTGGTTATTATGCACAGGGCACATCCTCTGAACATGTGCAGAGCACCCTTCCATGTTTTATGAGCAGCTGCAACCACTCTCTCCGCCGCACAGAGGCACATCCAGAACTAAGGATAATTTTTTCAACCCGTTTCTATCATAGAAAACACCCAGGGTAGGTAACAGACCAAACGAACAGTAAAATGTGCCGTTGCATACATTGTAGCCCTGGCAATAAACAATCAAGCATTAAAAGCAAACTGAAAACAGAAACAAACAGGAACAAGCAGAATGGTATTAAAACTATGAGTAAATCGACTGTACAGTGGTACCTCAGGTTAAGTACTTAATTCGTTCCGGAGGTCTGTTCTTAACCTGAAACTCTTCTTAACCTGAAGCACCACTTTAGCTAAAGGGGCCTCCTGCTGCTGCCGCGCCGCCGGGGCACAATTTCTGTTCTCATCTTGAAGTTTTTAACCCAAGGTACTATTTCTGAGTTAGCGGAGTCTGTAACCTGAAGCGTATGTAACCTGAAGCATATGTATAACCCGAGGTACCACTGTATATGCAGCAGTGGAAGCAAGAAGCAGGAAGCAAAATGACCATCTTCCCAAATGCTTTTGGGGACTAGTCTGAGGGCTCCCTCCCGATATCCTTTTTGTCGTGCATTTGTGATGATTTGTGCTCATGATGGTATGGGGAGGTTATGTGCAGGTCCGTACTGTTTGCACCTGCAACAGCCTCCGAGCAGGGAGACGGCTTTCTTTCCAATCTGTCCATCGCTGCTAAAATCCTGCAACATTTCATAGCAAAACTGCTCCGGGGAGTCAGGGTGTGTGTGAGTGCAAGATTGCTCCTCTGGATAACAACCAAGTGGTAAAATTGGGGAAGCACAGCAGAAAAACTGATAAATCAGAATGATGTGTGAATTCACGCACTATGAAATGTTGCGAAAAAACAAACAAACCACTAGGCTCACAGAACTACAATTCTCAAGAATGGTTTGACAGTCATCCTTCACAGGGAGCTCTGGGAAGCGTGGGTCTGAGATTATTATTATTATTTATATAAATTATTATTGTTGTTGTTATTATCATTGTCATTGTTGTTATTATTAATACTGTGCCCATCTGGCTGGGTTTCCCCAGTCACTCTGGGCAGCTCCCAACAGAATATTAAAAACACGGTAAAATATCAAACATTAAAAACTTCCCTAAACAGGGCTGAGAGGGGAAAAGGAGTCACCTATCAACTCTCAGTACCCTTAACGAACTACAGTTCCCAGAATCCTTTGAGGGAAGTTGTGACTGTTTGAAGTGGTATCATAGTGCTGCAAATGGATGGTATGAAAATGATCTCAGAGAGGCTCTCTTTGGTCATCTTTCTACTGCTGAGTTCACACCCACACCCTACGTTCAAAACACTCTCTTTGACAATTGTGGCTTCCCATCGAGTTTCAAGTGCTGTGCACTGTAGCTCTGTGTCCCAATGACTTTCAGTAGCCTTAGCAGACGACAGTTCCCAATATTGGGGGGCAGGGCACAAGGATGCTTTAAATGTTGGGTACGGATGTGACCTCACACATTCACTCTGAGCAGCCGCCCACAGCAATATCTCAGTAAACACCAACAGGAAATGATCTCCTTATAATGTTAGCCTATTGCACGTAAATTAAGGTAAAGGTAAAGAAAGGTACCCCTGCCCATACGGGCCAGTCTTGACAGACTCTAGGGTTGTGCGCCCATCTCACTCAAGAGGCTGGGGGCCAGCGCTGTCCGGAGACACTTCCGAGTCACGTGGCCAGCGTGACATCGCTGCTCTGGCGAGCCAGAGCCGCACGCGGAAACGCCTTTTACCTTCCCGCTAGTAAGCGGTCCCTATTTATCTACTTGCACCCGGGGGTGCTTTCAAACTGCTAGGTTGGCAGGCGCTGGGACCGAGCAATGGGAGCGCACTCTGCCGCGGGGATTCGAACCGCTGACCTTTCGATCGGCAAGCCCTAGGCACTGAGGGTTTTACCCACAGTGCCACCCGCGTCCCGCACGTAAATTAAGCAGCGGCAAACGACTAGACTTGACAAGGAAATAGCCAAAAGCACAGTTGCTCCCGCTGCAACACCACCCCTTTCTCAAGCTACAGAACCGTTTTTTACCCTGAGATGAGGAGTGGAAAGCAACTGCAGCAGCTCTTTTTCGTCATTATTCATTGGCGTAGTCTGCAATTCCTCTATAACCTTAAAGAGAAAGAGAAAGAGAGAGATCATCTATGCACAAGGTAGCATCTTATTTTCCCCTTGCATTTTCAGGTCAATGTTTTGCTAATCTCAGTGCAAGCACATGTCGACGTCCACCTCTGCGGCATATATAAAACTCCCTGCAAAGGTGCACAAGGCTGGGAAGTAATCCAGGAGCACAGAAAGCTACGATGTTCCATCAACCTCAATAACTCATATACTCTAGGGATGGGGAACCTGCAATTCTCCAGATTTTGTGGGACTCCAACTCCCATCACACCTACCCAGCACAGCCAATGGTCAGGGGTTATGGGAGGTGTAGTTCAGGAACCTCTGGAGGGCAAAGGATTAGCTATCCCTCATCTCCCCTGACTGTCCATGCCTTTCCACAGTTTTAGGCATGAGTCTTTTTTTTAGCCCTCCCTGGAGATAACAACATATGCAGCCTGCCGAATCAGACCAAAGGGAGCAAAGTGGCTGCAAAGGCCCCTCTGGGAATTTGCATGCTTGCATTGTCCCGCTAAGCAATTGTTTGGTTTAGCGTGATGTGTCTACCTGGCCCATGTGTGCTACTAAATGAGAACAGAGACTAAGGTTGTGTACACACCATATATTCACAACATACACAACCACACACACACCAAATAATACTAGGAGCTGTAGTTTGTTCCCAGGATTACACAGGGGAAGAAGGAAATGTATGGTGTGTAATAATAATAATACTTTATTATTTATACCCCGCCCATCTGGCTGGGTTTCCCCAGCCACTCTGGGCAGCTCCCAACAGAATTAATGACAATAATCAAAAAAAGTGATAAAACATCAGACATTAAAAACTTCCCTAAACAGGGCTGTCTTCAGATATCCTTTAAAAGTCAGGTGGTTGTTTATTTCCTTGACGTCTGGTGGGAGGGCGTTCCACAGGGCGGGCGCCACTACCGAGAAGGCCCTCTGCCTGGTTCCCTGTAACCACACTTCTTGCAGTGAGGGAACCGCCAGAAGGGCCTCAGAGCTGGACCTCTGTGTCTGGGCTTAATGATGGGGGTGGAGACTGTGTGTGTGCTGTGGAGAAATGATGCTCCAGTCAAAATATAAAATCCCATCTTTGCTAGGTGAGCAAAGGGTTAGGACACATGGAGTTCCTTGTGAATTCCTAGAAAGGGCACTCTGTGAGGTCATATCCTCTGCTTGCCCAGGCGGGAAGGGTAACAATAGGAAGCTAATCCTTATCACTTCCTCCCACCTGAGGAACACTTCCTTTCTCACCATGCAGATGTATAGGCTCCATCTTTGGTCTAAACCAGGGTTTCCTAAACTTGGGTCTCCAGGTGTTTTTGGACTACAATTCCCACCAACCATAGCTAGCAGAACCATGGGTCAGGGGTGATGGGAATTGTGGTCCAAAAACAGTTGAAGACCCAAGTTTGGGAAACCCTGGCCTAAACCATTTATTTTGTAATCCAAAAAGATATTCTACCTGACTTATTTCACTGCTATATTCTGTCTGCAACTTTAGGTAAGTAAACAATATTTTTATATTTTTACATTGCAGACTTCTGTGTTGTTATTTCATTTGGAGGGATAAATAAAGGGGAAGATCCCGTCTGCCAAAAGGCACCCTGGATAATTATAGAAAGCTACACAGCTTCGCCCCGGCTTTCCATATTGATGCTGCAAAGCATGGTACAGTCGTACCTTGGAAGTCGAATGGAATCCGTTCCGGAAGTCCATTTGACTTCCAAAATGTTCGGAAACCAAGGCGCGGCTTCTGATTGGCTGCAGGAGGCTCCTGCAGCCAATCAGAAGCTGCAGAAGCAACATCAGAAGTTTGGGTTCCAAAGAACATTCACAAACTGGAACACTCACTTCTGGGTTTGCGGCGTTCAGGAGCTAAAACGTTCAAGTCACAAGGCGTTCGTCAACCAGGGTACCTGTATATTTTTGACTCTGTTAAACTAGATGCTAAGCGGAAAGATAACAAATAAGTAATATATCCTATCCTACCTTCCAAATCCATCCCAACATATGCAGCATAAGAGGGCATATTAGAAGCTGGGTAGAACAACTATAATCCATGAGATTCAGTTACTCCTGGATATAAGACTATAGAAAGAAAAAAGCGTAGGCCTGTCTGGAGGCGGTGTTGCTCGATTATGGCAAAGACACCAGAGAGTCTAATAAATTATAAATTGCGCAACATTCTGCAGAGAGAGAGATCTCAGATGGAAGCATTGCAAAGTTACTCTCTGCAGCACCATCAAATCACTAGAAAAGAAAGGTGGCAGGGATCAGTTAACAGAGGGGTTGGCAACCTTTTCCGCCGGCGGGCCGCATGCACACACGACCATCACTCTTTCCCCGCTGGTTTTCAGAGCCATTGCGGGGGAGGAGGCAGCAACTGTGGCTTCCTATTGGCTGCAGGAGGCCATTGCTGCATCCCGGAAGTCAGTCCCCGCACAGAGCTAAACAGGCATACCGCGCCAGTTTAGCTCCGCGCAGGGACTGACCGAATGGGTGGCTAGGGCCGGGGGCTGGTATAATGACCCCCTCGGGCCGTATCTGGCCTGCAGACCACAGTGTGTCTACCCCTGAGTTAACACCACAATGCCAAATAAAAGTTGCAGCTTGTGCGTAGCAACGGATTCCAGTCGAGTCAGGAGGGGGGTAGGTGTGTTTTATCATCAAAAGTAGGGCTGGACGATAACTGGTTTTCAATACAGTGATACCTCGGGTAACATACGCTTCAGGTTACAGACTCCACTAACCCAGAAATAGTACCTCGGGTTAAGAACTTTGCTTCAGGATGAGAACAGAAATCATGCTCCGGCGGCGCGGCAGCAAGAGGAGGCCCCATTAGCTAAAGTGTTGATTCAGGTTAAGAACAATTTCAGGTTAAGAACGGACCTCCAGAACGAATTAAGTACTTAACCCGAGGTACCACTGTATTGTGATATATCGCCAGCTAAACATCACGACATATTGATATGTCAAAAAAATTGAAATAAGGAAGGAACTACGCAGAGGCGAACAGGACAATGTCCTGGCAACTGCTACTACTTGTCTAAAATGGATAAATGATACTATCAATCACCTCGTGGTTATTTTCAGCAGCAGGCAAGTCAAAATGCATCCCAGCAGGACTTTTGGTTTGGGGCTTGGCTACTAAATGGTGGTATTCAGGACAATCTACAGAGGCAGAATCAACAATGGCGGGGTGGGGGGGAGTATTAGAAGCAGCAGCCGCCTGTGAAGCCTCACCACAGCAGTCAGAGGCAGTGGCAGTAGCGGCGGCCTGCGAGGCCTTGCAGTGGTGGCAAGAGACGGTGGCAGATGCAGAGGTGGCCTGCAAGGCCTCACTGAGGCAGGTTGCCACAGCTTCTGCCACTACCTCCCACTACCGCCAAGAGGACTTGCAGGCCGCCGCCACTTCTTGCAAACCACGGGCGAGGCCTCGCAAACCCCTTATAGACTTTTCATGTGGGGTGGGGGGATAACTTCTGACATCTGGGTTTGAAGCGAGACTTTATCAGCCACGACCCAGCCATTCTTGTGGCTCCTCTGCCCTGACAGAGTTTCTGGCTACCACAAAAGTCTTCAGGGTTCGGTAAATGGGGTGGGGGCCTTGGCAGGTGCGCAGTGGCGCCAAACTCCGACGCCAGCCCTGAACACACATGCTCAGAAGGAGGCAACGCTTGCATTTTCAACCAGACACTTACGTCTTCAGCTAGAGCCGAGGCGCTGTGCAGAACTGGGACCGGGCTCTGCCTTTCATAATGGCACAACTTTTCGTGAATCTGAAACAGAAGGCAGACACAAACACATACAAAATGTGGGAAAATGATTGCTTGTACATGAGAGCATGAGCAAAGTTCTTATTGTTACAGGGTGATTTCATAGCTAGAAGCATCCTTGGAGCATGAACAGCGCGTGAACAGCTCGTGCTGTCCTATATGATTGGCTAACGTAGTATGGTCTGATCGCTCGCATGGTCTAGTACCAAGGTCTTTATCTGCTGGCTAGAACAAATTGCTTGACTTGTATTTTTTGTATCTTTCTATTTCACACATTTCACACAATAAAAGCTGTGCTGCATTAGCCCTAGCAGCAGCCATATTTCGGAACCTATCATGGTGTGAGACTGATTTTCCTCTGAATGCCGAGCTGCAACTCGACAATTGGTGCCCCGTGTGATTGCCTTCGGACTTCACGTTGTTTTATTCAGCACTCACCAACACGTCGTTCATCCACGTAGTGGATCCCTGGTGAGTGCTCCCGTGTGACTGCCTGTTTTTCATTATTCAGCACTCACCAACACGTCGTTCATCCACGTAGTGGATCCCTGGTGAGTGCTCCCGTGTGTACAACGTTCAGCTCTCACCTCGCCCGGAAGGGCTGCAGACGCGTCGTTCATCCACGTAGTGGATCCCCGGTGAGAGCTCCCGTGTGAATGTGATTCTGGACTACGTTACGGACTTATCAGCACTTATCTCCGCCCGGACAGGGCAAAAGGCGCCTTCCTCATCCTCCTACGGATCCCTCCGGTAAGTGCTCCCTGCTCTTTTTGCAACTCTTGCAATCATGGGAAAATCTCTCTCTGCACCACAGAAAAATTTTTTTAAAGACCTTAAATTCCTTTTGGCCAGCAACAACCTTGCTGTTCGGAAAGCTGACCTTAAGTCCCTTATAAAAGCCCTGGACACTCACTGCCCCTGGTTCCCCCAGGACGGAAATTGGGAGTTAGACGATTGGAAAAAAATTGGACACTTCTTTCAAAATCATCCTCAGATTGATGTCAAGGTTTTGCACGCCTGGAGTAACGTCTACAAAGCTATGTCGTGCTTAACTCCTTCAAACATTCTTCTGGCTGCCGCAACAGCTTCTTCGCCCGCCCTCCCAGCTCCCGCTTTGCCTGCCTCAAACCTACCTCCTAAACCGCCGGACATTCTCCCTCCGGCTTCTCCCGTCACTCCCCTGCATTCTTCAAATTCTGCAGCACCCCCCGCTCTTCCACTTCCTGCGCCCAAGGCCTCTGGCACCGCTTCTACTACTCCTCTCCAAGAATCTCTCCGTGCCGCTGCCCCATTGTTGGGTTTTGATTCTACAACTCCTAATCTCTTCCCTGTGATTGCTCCTGCCGCGCCAGGGGGAGGCCCAGCCCGGCACGAACAGTTTGATTTGAGATTCATAAAGGAACTGTATTCTTCTGTCAAAGACAATGGCCCTGCACCCCCAGCCCCTGTTATGCTGAACCAAACTGATGTTCTTGATGGCTTAACTGGCGAAGGCAATTTTCTTACTATTGCCCAACAGTTGGCCCTTGATCCCATGTATTGGACAGCTACTACTGCTGCCGCCCAAGAAGCTTTGTCCTCTGTTCCTGATGACAAGAATGAGCGCGGTGGCAGCATCAGACAGGGTCCTACAAAGCCCTATGGACAATTTGTCGATCGCTTGGATAACACTCTTAAGCTGCAAGTTCAGGACGTAGCAGCCCAAGAACTGATTGTCCGCCAGCTTGCTTTGATGACAACTCCCAATATAGCCATTGCAGATGTGCTTAAAGCCTGCCAGTCAGTGGGCACTGAGATGCACAAAGCTCGCCTGCTAGCCACGGCTTTGTCCTCCACCGTGCCCCAGAATCCTGCAAAGGATAAAACCTGCTTTGGATGTAGCAAAGTGGACTATTTTCGTGCGCAGTGCAGATCTATCGCACAGCAATGTCACTCCAGCACAAAGTGCTCCATCTTTGATACAGGCCAGGACTTGTCAATTTTCTGAAGCACATCTTAGATCACATATTGGTCACCCTGGTTATTTGGCAACAGGAATTTTACGCCTGCTGAACTTCATTTCTGGAAGGAAGAAATATTGCAGCGTCCTTTAGTGTCCTACAGGTTGCTTCCAGATCCACAGTGGAAGGGTCCAACTTCTTTGATTTCACCTAATCTCAACCTGCACTGCAATTGGAGACATCGCCATATTGATGTGCCCTGGATAAAGTCACCTTCCACAGCTGTTCCAGTGTTTCTTGGCACGTTGAAAGGCCATCTTCATCCCTACCGCATTGGCCCCCCTTTTCCCTGGGAAGCCACTTCAACCATCAAATATCATTACAGTTTTGTTGCCTCTTGTTTGGGAAATGAGCCTGGCTTTGAAGGATGCCCTCGCCGGACCGGCATCACTTGGATTTTACCCCCCAGATATTTTTGTTTCTCCTCCCTCAGGAGTCCTGCCCTATGATGTGTTCCCCTGAGCATGTACAGAGGGCTGTCTTGGAACTATTGTGGACTCTTGGCAAGGGAGGGGGTGAAGGATTTCAGTGTGTTCCAGTTGTTTCATTTTTGTGCTTTGGCATGGTTCCCGGACAGAAAGCAAGTTGCAATATGGTTCTTCAGCAAGGCCTGGAAGACAATGGACTCTGTTCTCGACCTTGTTGCAGTCTTTTTAGTTACAGCAAGCGGACTATGCTTGGCTACTGCCTTTTTTAGCTGCTGAGAAAAATGATTTTAAAAAGCTTCTCAAAGCTTTGAACCTTTCTTTTGGTGGTGGTATTCTAGCATTCCAGTAAATGCTTCATATAAGATTAGCAATAATATGCAGGACAATCGTACAAGTTTTTAGGTCATTATCTATATTGTAATTCGACCTATGAGTACATTAATGGATCTTCTTGTTTTTTTTAATGTTACCACTTCTGCCTTCTTTAGGTGCAGCCATGAATTACCGTGATTTGCATAAATTGGCAAACTGGACAGAAAATTTGTTTAATTCCACCATTTTGGCTTTAAAAATGATTAACAAAGAAATATCAGAAATAAGAAATGTAGTTCTTCAACATCATTATGCTTTAGATGTGATCCTTGCTTCTAAAGGTGGAATTTGTGCCTTAATTCATTCTCATTGCTGCATGTATATAACTGATCAATCGACCAATATCTCTGCTACTATTGATCATATGGAACAAATGATAGCCCATAATCCTTTGAATCCACCTGAAGGTTTTGATCCATGGGAGTGGTTGTCTTCTTGGTTACCCAATGGAGTATGGTTAAGAAAAGTATTATTGATTGTAATTGCATGTATTGTTGGTTTTATTATGGTATGTTGTTGCATTCAATGCATACCCTCTTTGATTTCCCAATGCACTGCATGGTGGTACCGACCACGGCCCACCACAGGGGTTACAAGAGGAATTTATGTTGCAAAGTGTAGACGCTCAGGCAATGAAGTGTACGATTTGGACTAATGGTCCCTCTTTTCCTCTAATAATATAAACAAGAAAAGGGGATATGTGGGAAAATGATTGCTTGTACATGAGAGCATGAGCAAAGTTCTTATTGTTACAGGGTGATTTCATAGCTAGAAGCATCCTTGGAGCATGAACAGCGCGTGAACAGCTCGTGCTGTCCTATATGATTGGCTAACGTAGTATGGTCTGATCGCTCGCATGGTCTAGTACCAAGGTCTTTATCTGCTGGCTAGAACAAATTGCTTGACTTGTATTTTTTGTATCTTTCTATTTCACACATTTCACACAATAAAAGCTGTGCTGCATTAGCCCTAGCAGCAGCCATATTTCGGAACCTATCTTGGTGTGAGACTGATTTTTCTCTGGATGCCGAGCTGCAACTCGACAACAAAATATAATGTTCAAGCGGTGGCCATTTAAATGGGGCAGGGGCAGATGTGCAAAGCACTGTAGGCCAAAACACAAGCTCCAAAGACATTTGGAGACAGGCACTTTTCTCACAGAATTGTAGAGGTGGAAGGGACCACAAGGGTCATCTAGTCTGACCCCCTGCAATGCAGGAATCTTTTGCCCAATGTGGGGCTCGAAGCCACAACCCTGATTCTCGTGCTCTACCGACTGAGGTACCATATTGATACCTGTTGATATGCTAAAGCCACAAGCCTCTGATCCAAAACAGGCAAGCGGAAGCACTTGGTCTTAGAGAAAATATAGATATAGTGGCCGTAGAAGAAACCTGGTGGAACTGGGAGAACTGGGAGATCCAAAGCGGAAAGGCCTTCTTCCCTGTAGCCACCTGCCACATCTCAGATGGCGGAAAAACCTGGAAGAGTGTTGGAAGAGCAATAGCAGGGATGATTCACTATGTAACTTAAGGATTAATTCTATTAGCATTAAGGTAGGCTGGCTAATAATAATAATATTTTTTAAAAAATATATATATATTTATACCCCGCCCATCTGACTGGGTTTCCCTAGCCACTATGGGCTGCTTCCAACAAAATATTAAAATACAGTAGTCCATCAAACATTAAAAGCTTCCCTAAAAAGGGCTGCCTTCAGATGTCTTCTAAAAGTCTGGTAGTCGTTGTTCTCTTTGACATCTGGTGGGAAGGCGTTTCACAGGGCAGGAGCCACCACCAAGAAGGTCCTCTGCCTGGTTCCCTGTAACTTGGCTTCTCCCAGTGAGGGAACCGCCAGAAGGCCCTCAGAGCTGGACCCCAGTGTCTGGGCTGAACGATGGGGGTGGAGACACTCCTTCAGGTATACTGGGCCGAGGCCATTTAGGGCTTTAAAGGTCAGCACCAGAACTTTGAATTGTGCTCGGAAACGTACTGGCAGCAAATGTAGGTCTTTCAAGACCGGTGTTATATGGTCTCGGCGGCCGCTCCCAGTCACCAGTCTAGCTGCCGCCTTCTGGATTAGTTGTAGTTTCCGGCAAAGAGGGTGGGGACAGCAGGCAGGGTTGCTTAACAACCAGGTAGAGCGGCATGATCTCTAGTGAGGCAGCATGTGCTTTGATTGGCTGTGAAGTTCTGAGGGAGTTTTCCTCTGAATGTTTAGTGGAATGTCTCCCTCCGATGTGGGGCAGGCCTATGTGGGGACATATATGTGGAGAAAGTATAAGCCAGAGCTATGTCAGGGCAGAGGAGCCACAAGAATGGCCGGGTAGCGGCTGATGTAGTCTCGCCTCAGCAGTTAAGAAGGCCTGGCCAGGCTAGGAAGTCCACTAATGCCTGGGACTGAGCATGGAAAGCTCTTGGAAATGCTCAGAAAATAATAATAATAATAATAATAATAATAATAATAATAATAATAATAATAATAATTTATTATTTGTACCCCACCCATCTGGCTGGGTTTCCCCAGCCACTCTGGGCGGCTTCCATAGAAACAAAAAATACACTAAAATCATACATTAAAAACTTCCCTGAACAGGGCTGCCTTAAGATATCTTCTGAATGTCAGGTAGTTATTTATCGCTTTGACATCTGATGGGAGGGCGTTCCACAGGGCGGGCGCCACTACCGAGAAGGCCCTCTGCCTGGTTCCCTGTAGCTTTGCTTCTCGCAATGAGGGAACCGCCAGAAGACCCTCGGCGCTGGACCTCAGCGTCTGGGCAGAACGATGGGGGTGGAGACGCTCCTTCAGGTATACTGGACCGAGGCCGTTTAGGGCTTTAAAGGTCAACACCAGCACTTTGAATTGTGCTCGGAAACGTACTGTGTGCGTAATCTGTGCATCAGACTGGGCGGCATCCAACAAATGAGAACACAACACAGTATCAAACATTAAAAACTTCCCTATACAGGGCTGCCTTCAGATGTCTTCTAAAAGTCAGATAGTTATTTATTTCCTTAGCACTGCTGTGAGGGGATCCAATAACCACTCTCTTGGTTACATCGCAATGTCCAGCTTTTTGAGTTCAGGGGTTTGAAAAGCAGCTCCCTTGGCTGAATGAAAGGCCAATTGGGAACCGGGCAGCTCAGAGTATTTACCTTCATTAAATAGCTGAGACTCCTTTCGCTGAAGATGTCTCTCAGGAACACCATTTCCTCCTTGTGGTTGGAGTCGGGTCTCAGCTGTGACGTCAGGAGGGCGAGGGTCTCGTGCAAACCTGTCAGAGAAACACAGAAGGAAATCACTGGGGGTACCGGATATCCAGTGGTTTTGAAAAGCACAGCCAGAGCTGTAGGCTAAGTCCTCGTGGCAGCTTCTGCCACAGGGAAAGCAGAAAATGAGAAACCAGGGTTGGGGTGGGGAGCAGGGGACCCTGGTCTATTAGAGTAAATGGGGCTCTGCCCCACCAAACACAGCCAGCCCTCACTTGCCGATGGGTCCAGAGGATGGATCTGTCAATAATAATAATAATAATTTGTTCATTTATACTCCACCCATTTGGCTGGGTTTCCCCAGCCACTCTGCACTCCTATGGGCAGATCGATGCCGAACACCTAAAGCACAAGACTCCCAAAGAATCCTGGGAACTGTAGTTCCGTCCTCATAGAGCTACAACTGCTAGCACCCTTATATTACTACAGTTCCCAGGATTCTTTGGGGGAAGGCATATGCTTTAAATGTGCACTGGATGTGGTAGAAATTTATGATGCGAATCTCAGTGTTGCCCTTACAGAACTCCTTTGGTTGTTGTTGTTTTCTGTTCCACTAGCCACTGAATCCTGGTTTTATAGTTTTAGCTCAGTCTTATTTTCATCGTTATTGTGTTTCTGAGAAGACTTCAATTAAGCAGCTTATGAATTGTCAAAATAACAATCATAATAAGAACAATAATGGCAATACGTGAACCCCCCTCCTGATGTAAAACCTGAGGTAAAAATGCGGGGAACCGATTGGAAAAAATGAGAAACTGTGAAAAACTGAAATTGACAGATTGAAATTGAAATTGACAGACTGAAATTGAAATGGACAGCTCTTCCACCAGCCTCACAAACCTGTCTGTGGAGAAACTGTATGTTAAAACAATGTTTTAAGACCATGTAAAATGACGCCATAAACTCAATGCTATATTCTTTTCTCTGTGGAGATTGTATTGTATGATAAAAAATAGAAAATAAAAGAAATTGCCAGATTCACCCATAACTACCTGTAAACCGCCCTAGGGATTTCTACTGGAGCACAGCAGAAGAGAACCAGTGTTGTGTCATGGTTAGGACCTGGGAGGTTAAGGGTTCAAATCCCCACTCAACCATAAAGCTAGCTGGGTGAACTTGGGCCAGTCCTTGCCTCTCCGCCTAACCTACCTCACAGGGTTGTTGTGAGGATAAAATGTAGGAGAAGAACTATGTACACCACCTTGAGCTCCTTGAGGAATGGAGAGGCACAAATGCAATAAATATATAAAAATATTACAAATATATTAATAGTATGTTACTGTTTATCTGTTAAGGCTTTACGGTGCTCTGAGCCAGGTTTTCAATCAAACATGGTTCTGATATAGCACCCTATTAAAACAGTTTGAGAATGTACTAAATCAGCAGAAGGTTCCTTACCTGAATCTTCTGACAGGACAGGCATGGCTTATTCTTCACTCAGCTACCTAGAGTGGATGATGAATTTTCAGCCCGAACGACGGACTCACCCTCAGGGGTTATGGGCCCAGAATGTCTAGAGTCACAGAAACAAACAGATATGAATTGCTTTTGCATATTTGACCAAGAAAGGCTGGAAAGATTATTATTAGTAGTAGTAGTATTATTATTCAACAAGAGGTGGAGTTGTGCCTTATTCCTCGGCTGGGGAGACTTTGACCCTCCCAGTGTTGCTAGACTCCAATCAGCACCAGCCACCATGGCCCATGGGAGTTGTAGTTCATCAACCTCTAGACCAGTGGTTCTCAACCTGTGGGTCCCCAGATGTTGTTGGACTACAACTCCCATCATCCCTGAGCTCTGGCCTTGCTAGCTAGGGGTGATGGGAGTTGTAGTCCAACAACATCTGGGGACCCGCAAGTTGAGAAAGGCTGCTCTAGAGGGTTACAGGTTTCCCCCATCCCTGCCTTATTCAGATATTGCTGGTCATTTTTGTTTCCTCAGAATTCCTACCATGCTACAGTCAAACTTCAGTTGTCAAACTTAATCCGTTCCAGAAGCCCGTTCAGCTTCCAAAATGTTCGGCAACCGAAGCACAGCTTCCAATTGGCTGCAGGAGCTTCCTGCACTCAAGCGGAAGCCACGTCGAACGTTTGGCTCATAGCTGTCAACTTACAGATTTGAAAATAAGGGACCAGCAGCCTCAAAAATAAGGGATCAGCAGCCAAAATAAGGGATTTTCCTAGCACAGGTACGTTCAACTTCTGAGCCCCTCCGAGCCAAAGGCAGAAAGCCCAGCCAGCAGTCAAATGAAGCCTCAAGCAGTGGTTCCCAGAGCGCAGCAACCCAGCAAAGGGGATGCAGCAAGGAAAACCACCATCACCTCTCCGCTGGGAAGCGCTGAGCAGAGGCGAGTCCCCAGGCAACGCGGCCAATTTGATCGGCACAAGGCATGCAAGCTCCACCCCCCAGCCATTCTTAGACTCCTTATTGGGTGAGCAACGCAGCCAAGCAACACAGTTGGCGCCTCCCTCCTCCCTGGCCGGCAGGGAGGGAGGGAGAGGAGCTGCTTCCTTTGAAACCCGGGAAATTTAAGTGACATCATCAATAAGGGACAGCAGCGGGACACGGCGCTGGGATAAGGGAGTTTCCCGCCAAATAAGGGACCGTTGACAGCTATGGTTCAGAGGCCTTTGGTTAGGGCACAGCCTGACTCCCTCCTTGGCAATCTTTACAATACTTTAGTTTATGGTTGCCATCAATTTTGATTTTAATTAATTCTTATGATGTTTTATAATGTTGCACTATTTTAGTGTTGTTAGCCGCCCTGAGCCCGGCTTCGGCTGGGGAGGGCGGGATATAAATAAAATTTATTATTATTATTATTATTGTGAAAAACGTTTGAAAACCACGACACTAACTTCTGGATTTTCGGCGTTCGGTAGCCGAAACGTATGGTAAAGGAAGTGTTCGGGAACCAAGGTCTGACTGTATTTGGAAAGAGACAATTGCTTGGGGAGCAGTCAGTCAGGCTGGCCTCACAGCCCAACCAATACATTCTGAGAGACCAGAAACCTAAAGACGTGGACTCCAGGAGGGCACAGCCACAAAGGAGCAGGAACTGATGCTTGGGGCTGCAGCCTTATAATGCAAGCCTGTGCGTGCCGATTGCATGCCAAGTAAATATGAATAGGACTGCACCCTTAACGTCATTTCCCACTCGACTTTGTGCCTTAGCTCTCTAGTCTGCAGCACACCAGCAAAAACTTTTCTGCAGTCTTTTCATTTTTACTGGAGGGAAAACCTAATAAATCCCAGCAAAGCTCAACCCCCCACCTTCCTGCTTACTGAGCCTTTCTCTCTCATTTCAAAAAAAATTGTTTCTAGGCTGTGCACTCCCTTTCTCTGGCATTGGGTTACATTAGTCTTCTCGTCCTCTTCTTCCTCCTCTTCTTCTTTTTTTAAAAAAAGGTGAAATAGCTGCAGACAGGAGATACAACTTATAGCCCAAAAAATTCATCCTGCAGCAAGGTTCATCCAGGAACCATTTTCTAGAGCAGTGGCTTTCAGCAAAAAAAAGCTTCAGTAAAAGGTAAAAAGGACCCCTGGAGGGTTAACTCCAGTCAAAGGCGACAATGGGGTTGAGGCGCTCATCTTGCTTTCAGGCCGAGGGAGCCGGCGTTTGTCCACAGACAGCTTTCCAGGTCAATTGGCCAACAGGACTAAACCGCTTCTGGCGCAACGGAACACCGTGACGGAAATCAGAGCGCATGGAAACGCCGTTTACCTTCCCGCCACAGTGGTACCTCTTTATCTACTTGCACTGGTGTGCTTTAGAACTGTTAGGTTGGCAGGAGCTGGGACAGAGCAACGGGAGCTCAGTTTGCCACAGGGATTTGAACCCCCAACCTTCCATTCGGCAAGGTCTACCAAGCTTGCACGCTGAGCACACTGCTTTACGGAAGTGAGTCGTGGGCAATTTACACCTGCTAGGAGCAATGCATCAATGCCTTCCTTACACGATGTGTCAGGAAATTTTGGGGCATCACGTGGCAGGACAGAGTCTCAAGCAAAGATGTGCTCTCCCCAAGCCATCGTTCCCAGCATGTTCACACTCCTGTCTCAGCAACGTCTACGCTGGATTGGTCATGTTCACAGAATAGAAGAAGACAGGATCCCCAACGATGTGCTCTATGGGGAGCTGGCAACAGGCCCACTGGCAGAGCAATTCTGCGCTACAAAGATGTCTGCACTCATAATATGAAGACTGGCAACATTAACACTGTGGAAATCCCTTGCGCTTGTAGACAGACAGTCAGGTCACATATCCACAACAGTGACCAGAGGAGGAATGACCGCTGGGAGGATCGCAGAGAGAAGAAACGCCATGGGACATCTGCAGCAGTACAACCAGATGCCTTCATCTGCCCCAGCTACAACAAAACATGACTCTCCCATATCTACAGCCACAGCAGGCGCCGTAACTCTCCAACAATTTGACTTCACCCCCGAAAGCACACTCTTTCTCAAGACAGATGGACACCATAGAGGGGTAGGAGAGCCAGGGGGAAATTCACATCTGGCAACCAATCCACCCCTCATATAGTACATGAATAGACAAGTCTAAGAGGCCCAGGACAAAAAAAAATCACAGTGGCAGTGGCTCATTTACCAGAAGTAACGTATTTAGCATTAACTCTGGAAGTGTATAAGGGACGCGGGTGGTGCTGTGGGTTAAACCACAGAGCCTAGGGCTTGCCGATCAGAAGGTCAGTGGTTCGAATCCCCATGACGGGGTGAGCTCCCATTGCTCGGTCCCTGCTCCTGCCCACCTAGCAGTTTGAAAGCACATCAAAGTGCAAGTAAATAAATAGGTACCGCTCCGGCGGGAAGGTAAACGGCGTTTCCGTGCGCTGCTCTGGTTCGCCACAGGCGGCTTACTCATGCTGGCCACATGACCCAGAAGCTGTACGCCGGCTCCCTCAGCCATTAAAGCGAGATGAGCGCCGCAACCCCAGAGTCGGTCATGACTGGACCTAATGGTCAGGGGTCCCTTTACCTTTACCTTTTACTGGAACTGTATGCTCAATTCTCACCAAACTAAGCTTCCTGGTGTATATTTTGCTCTAGGAGGCTTAGTTTGGTATACACATTATTTCCAGCTGTCGTCACCCCCACTACCAGCCCAAACTTCATTTTAACCAAACCTGGAAATGGTTCGTCACCTGGGAATGTCTTCCTAACAGCATCGCTACCCGACATCAGAAGCGCCTGAGTTCTCATGAGCAGCTTCACCAACCGCTAAGGAAAACTCAAGTGATGACAGATCAACAAAGCCTGCCGTAATATGTAAGATTTCTAACACACCGTGCTCAGGAAGAGCAAATTGTTAAGCACCAAGGTAATGACAGACTACAGCTTTGAGGAAGAGCACCTGCTTAGCAAGGGACGCAGGTGGCGCTGTGGGTTAAACCATAGAGCTTAGGACTTGCCGATCAGAAGGTCGGCGGTTCGAATCCCCACAACAGGGTGAGCTCCCATTGCTTGGTCCCTGCTTCTGCCAACCTAGCAGTTCAAAAGCATGAAGTGCAAGTAGATAAATAGGTACCGCTCCGGCGGGAAGATAAATGGCGTTTCCGTGCGCTGCTCTGCTTCACCAGAAGCGGCTTAGTCATGCTGGCCACATGACCCAGAAGCTGTACACCGGCTCCCTCAGCCAATAAAGCGAGATGAGCGCCGCAACCCCAGAGTCATCCGCAACTGGACCTAATGGTCAGCAGTCCCTTTACCTTTACCTGCTTAGCAAACTGAAGCTCTGAGGTTCATTCTCCAGATAAGACCGCAAAACTCCCCTACCTGAAACCTTGGGAGAACTGCTACCATTTACCTGAACTAGTGGTCGGAGCTGCTAGCATAAGCCAGCTCCCTAAGCTCTGAATCTTGTGGCAAACGTAGCCATTCACCCAGGAATTTCCTCGCCTCATCCTCCCCTGCCATGATGGAAAGTCCTAATTTTAAAAGGCCTTGAGCCTGCCGCTGTTACATAATCCTGTCCACTTCCATTTCCTCGCTTTGTTACGGATGTCAGGCAGCCCCGCGGCATCAGGCCCATGTTAGATGACGCTTACATATGTTCACAAGCAGCAAGGACTGACGGGGAGAGACCTCGGCTCAACGGCTGCGCACGTGATGCGCATGCAGAGCATCGCCACTTCCAGCGCGGACGCCTTGCCTCTTAAGAGAACAGATAGCAGGGTGACAGCCAAAGAGGCTTCTCTTCCTGAAGCCTCTGAGAGCCACTGCTGGTCAGAGCAGACAATACAATCATAAACTTGGTGGTAGAACAGAATCCGTTCCAGAAGTCCATTCGACTTCCAAAACATTCGGAAACCAAAGAACGGCTTCTGATTGGCTGCAGGAAGCCAATCAGAAGCCACGGAAGCGCCGTCGGACATTCAGCTTCCAAAAATAGTTCGCAAACCAGAACAGTCAATTCCAAGTTTGAGGCGTTCAGGAGCCAAAACATTTGGGAACTAAGCTGTTTGACTTCCAAGGTACGACTGTACTCGGACAGAT